GTTTCTTCCTTCAAGGGAGTTTTTCTTTGCCTCAGTCGCTGAGAGATTGCTCATGTGGGCTTCGTTCATTTTCTTGCAAGAGGAGTTTGGTTCTTGACTTGCTCACTTTATGAAGTACCTTGCGATCACCTTGGCTATGAATCGGTGCAATTGAAATCAATCAATACAACATTTATGATAATAACTTGTTAGTTCCTATTGTCATCTTGAAGGTTTAACTTCTGTGAAGCTCTCACCATGCAGAAAAGATTAAACGATGAGAATCGTTCACGACTCATGAGCAGCGACCAGCATGAAAGATAATTTTGAAGAAAAGGAAAACATTTCTGCATGCATTTAGGAGTGCCAACAGAAACATAATGTCAAAACCCCCACCAAAAAAAAAAAAAAAACCTGCATATGCCACACCAAAGGAACAAAGTACACAGCAAAACAAATCAACGCAATCAACAGTCTTACCTTCTCCATTTCTGTGGCTTGGCAGAGCGGCGTCACCTTCGCAGAGAGAAGCGTGTGTCGCCTGGCGCCTCGGCAGCGGGAACACGAAGAACACTTCTACCTGAGGCAGGAAGCGCTGTGCCCCGGCGGAGACCGCTTACATGACAGCCTCACGGCGCGCTCTCCCTCGTCACTTCATCTGAGTGAAGGTTCCTCCCCCCCATCGCCCCGGTGCGGCGGAGAAGAGAGAGAGCGGGTGTCACATTCAAATTCATCCCTTGCTTGCACCGCGCAAATTGGGAGAATCTCTTTTTTTTTTTTTTTAAATATGCCTCTGCATAATAATTGGGAATTAGTGAAATGAGATCATTATTTATTTTTTTTAATAGGGCAAAATATCCCCGGAAGCTCTTTTCATAGAATGGAGGAAAGAGGAACAAGTGAAGGGGGAGGAGGAGGAACATTTGCTTGCCAGCAGGTTGGCAGGTCCACTAGAAAGAAGAATGTTTGGGACAAGAGTGAGGCAGCTGTGGCCTTCTTCTGCAGCCCTGCATCAGCATGTGGGCATGTGGGCCCACAGGAGCTAACGTGGCTCATCCAAAGCAGGTCAGCCTCTGATAAGCTCCAGATGGGACCGGGTTACACTCTTGCAACCCTTGCTAAAATTATGAAATCAATTAAGATTCTCTCACAGACTTACTGAGATGAAGACCCAATTTAGACCGCGGCTGCACCAATTAATCGGTCGGCCATTTATGTCAGCCAACAGTAGGGCTTTTTTGTGAGTTTTGCCGATTAAACGCCATGTAATCTTACTGTCTCATGAAACAGGGAATACTGTTTGGTCGGTACGGGCAGGAAGGAAAGGACAAACATGGCTGACACAATGTTTTTCTGTATACATGACATCTTTCTCCATCCTCTCATATGCGAATTAACACGCAAAGTATACTTATGATGATAATGTGCATATTCATGCTGTCAAAGATGACATGTGGGAAAGGTGTCTTTGGTTTTTAGTTTGAAGTCATCACTTCATGATGAATAAAATAATGGAATAAGAGCTATGTAATTCGCCATTAGAATGCATTATGCATTGTTTTGCCAATAACGTTTATGGCCAGAATGTAAATCTAAATTCAGAAGTTCATGCTCTTTTATAGGTCAAACTTTAAAACCAAAAATGGCAAGATCTCAAAAAGCTGATGTGCAAGACAAAAATAAAATACATTTTTGAAAACAGCTTCTAGAATACATTTAGGGACACAGAACGCCATTTCTGATTATAATTTGCTATTGACCAGTGTAATAAACCAGCAGATTTTTTTTTCCTGCCAAGTATCGGAATCAACATCGGCCGACACCTATCAGTCGGGAACTAATTTAGACAAATTGCTTGAGTGCTGGAAAAGAGAAAAATAGTTGAAGCTCTCTGAAGGTGTGATGAGTCTGCCTGACAACAACCTCTGCAGCAGCCTGACCTACAAATGTGGCAAATTTCACATCCTTGGGTGCTTCAATGGGGAGTTCAGAGCAATCCCGTTCCCCGCGGTGTGCCCATGGACCTAATTTTGAAAACACAATTAGTCGCTCGTTATTCACTCGGCTTTTAATATGGGCACACTAGAACAAAAAGGGCACGGAGCTGTCTCCTGCTAGCTTCCACTGCACAAAGTTGGAATAATGTGCCAAAGCTCTCACAATTTGTGTTTTGGGTGCCTTTTACTAAATATCCCTCTCACAAGATTAAAAATTTGCATTGCCCCCAAATTGTGGAATGCACTTCCTTTTGAGTTGAAACCTTCCACTTCAGGCGATATTTTCAAAAGCGGTTTGACACACACATTTGAGCACATTGCAATAGATTGCTTGATTTGCAGCATTTAGTATTTTAACTGATTTAATTCTGATTATGTTTGTATTGTTTTATTTACTTTAAAATTGGATTAATATTTCTTTATTGTCATTCATATCTCATTGGTTTGGTTATTTTGATAGGATTCAGTTTTTTTTTCTTGGATTAACTGTAAAATATATGACTGAAGAGGTATGACGGTATTCCATAAATAGATTGCTTTGAATTATATTGATTTGTTACTTTGAATGTAATTTTAATGTAATTTTACTTTGGGATTTATTCTTGCTTTTTGAATTAATTATTAAGTCACATTTTAAGTGTAGCAGTGAGAGAATACATTTTCCCCTCGTCTTATCGTCATGGCAATTTTTCACGTGAGCACTAAACAGTCTGGAGTCGAATGCAACAACAAGCCTGTCAATCAATGACAAACGAGTCCCGCCCCCTGCATCCAGCGTCTGCAGCTTCAGCATCGGAGCACATTTTGGGAGATGACGCACCTATCTATCATGGCAGCGTGGCGCAGTAAAAAAAAAAACAAACCGAAACAAAGCACACAAGCACCCGAGACAACGCCAACCACAGACACAAAGTTAATCACTAAATGCTGAGAAAATAATATTCGGCTTAGTCCGAATGTGCTAGTTAAGGTGCAGCGTGAAGTAAACATCTTACCAGGTGTGCGTCAATTCCGTCTGCGCTGCTCCAAATCCGCCGACACTTTCTTCCTTCCTCCTCCCTGAGTATTACAGCTTCAATGTCAGCCTCGCAAAAACTTGTTGTGTACGTTTCTTGGTAAGCCGACTTGTTTGTTAGTTTGTGTTTTCGGACCTTGCTCCCAGGTAGCGTCTCCGAGTGTCGGTCACCGCCGGCGGATGTCGCTCTTTGGCCCGGCCAAATTTGGGAGCTTTAAATCTCGCTGTTTATCGCGAGACTATGGAGTTCTCGTGGATTACTTCTTACATCTTGCATAACTGTGGGTCACAGTGTTATTTTTTTTAAGAAAAATAAAATTGGGTCATCCCAAAACTGGAGGATATTTGGGAAACTGACAATTCTCAAAATGTTTTTGTTTTTCAGAAAAGCAGAAACAAAAAAAGAACGTTTTATTTTATTTTTTTTTCAAGAAAATAAATAGGTAATCAACCACAATAAAATGTAATTATGTAGCTGAACCATCAACAGAAATTTTTTTTCTTCAATATTTTTAGCTTGCTGGCAGCACGGTGACAACTTGTTGGCATGTCTGTCTCACAGTGCAGATGTTCAGAGTTCGATTCCAGCTCCGGCCTTCCTGTTTGGAGATTGTATGTTCTCCCCGTGACTGCATGGATTTTTTCCGGGCACACTTTAAATTGTCCCTAGGTATGATTGTGAGTGTGAATGGTTGTGTGCCCTATGGTCGTCTGGCAACCAGTTCTGGGTGTACACCACCTACTGCCCAAAGACAGCTGAGATAGGCTCCAGCACGCTTGTGACCCTAGTGAGGATGAACGGATTGGAAAATGGATGGATGGATTGGCTAACAAGTGAATCATTTCCAAACTTTTACTATACTGAAAATAGAGAAGAACATCCATCCATCTATTTTTAGATCCGCTTATCTTCACAAGGGTCGTGGGGGGTGCTGGAGCCTATCACAGCTGTCTTCAGGCAGTAGGCGGGGGACACCCTGAACGGATGCCAGCCAATCACAGGGCACACAAAGACGAACAACCATCCACGCTCACACTCACACCTAGGGACAATTTAGAGTGTTCAATCAGCCTGCCACGCATGTTTTTGGAATGTGGGAGGAAACCGGACTACACGGAGAAAACCCACGCAGGCCCGGGGAGAACATGCAAACTCCACACAGGGAGGCCGGAGCTGAAATTGAACCCGGTACCTCTGCACTCTGAGGTTGACGCGCGTACCACTGGAGCACTGGGCCACCCTAGAGACGAACATGAACCAACATAATATAATTTACCATTTTGACCACTTTAACACTCACATCTTCATGATTAAAAGCATCACTCTTCCCATGAGGTTTAGAATTTTTGCTTTATTTCACACTTTCTTTCTCCTTTTCTCCACTACACTGGGATAATTCTGCTTTATTTTCCTCCCAACTGCGCGAACAAGTTGATTTTGCAGGCATGTTTCTGACTCAAGTCTGCACATGCATGTAAGATGGTATAGTCCATTGCATGAGAAAAGGAGTCGAAATGCGTAAACTGGATGATGCATTTTAATATGTTCGTTAGCATGTAACTCAAGACTAAAACTGCCTTAATTCCAATAAACATAATTTTTTTTTTAGGAGACATTGGAAATCCGAGGCCCACAGGACACCACCTTTGATTGCCTAACGGTATGATCGACCCTGGGTTGATAGTAACACAACAGTAGTTGCACATAGTGATTCCATGTTACTTGGAGTGAAGAGTTAATTGCAGACAAGCAAAGGAAAAGAACCATGTCAGCCCGAGTCAACGGCGAACTAATGAGAGCATGGCAGTGACAGCCAACAGTGATGAGACCAGACATAATTAGGTTAACCTAGCTGCTGTTAGACTTACCGGGCCTGATGGGATCTCTGCAGTGGCCTCAGTGGATGCTGGGCGTAACCTGCTTCTTCTCTTTGGGACACTCAAATGATTATTTAGAGGGGATAACTGAAGATAGAGATTAAGTTATAAGTATAACATGCGATTCTGAATTGTTTTCATCATTTAATTTTTTTTTTTTATTGAAAGATTGCAAAATGTGTTTACAGTTCACCGTCTTGATGCATTTTGATTCTGATGCTTCTGTCTTGAACTGATGCAGCATTGGAAGCATACAAACTGTACATTTTATGCCACTGTCGTGTCACATACACTCTTTACAAAAACACCAGTGGTTTCCGAGTAGCCCGACTTCTGTGTACAATCCTGCCATGGCTATAGTTCATGGCCAGCTCACTGTGACATCTGTACTGTACAAGTTTACACACAATAACGCGGATCACGATGCAAAGATGCAGGAAGAAAGGCTTGAAATCGGCACGCGGCCATCTCAGTTTTTCTTGTGGAGAAACTTCATTTTGTTTCCTGAAAAAGTCCAAACAAATCAAGAGTAATTAATAATGATGTAAGACGAATTAAGTCATCTCAACAGCCCACTTGCAAAATACGTGATTATGATTATGATCACTATTTGAAGGTGGATACTCTCCCATCCAATTTGTATCATTAGGGTCATGGGTGAGTTGGAGGCTATCCACAGGTGGCCTCCACAGTCAACTGCAGGACACATCTCGACAAACAACCACTCACATTCACAATCACACCTCGTGTACGAGCAGTTTGTTTTGAATTGACATACTATTGCATGTATTTGAGATGCACTCATTCTTTTAAAAAGGCCTTCAGAAACCTCACCGAGGCCTTTGAGGAACTTGTTAACACCACTCTGCTCCGTGTCCGGCAGCTCCTCCAGGTACTGATCCACCCTCTGCTCAAACAGACCTGTCACGGTATTGCCACTAGGGGTCAGTACTAGTGCAGCGGTAAGCATTGCAGCGGAAGCACAAAGGAGGTCAACACCAAGTGGGAACATGAATAGCAGTTTCACAATTCAGCACACTAGGACGGACACTACAGAATCTTTTTTTTCTTCCACTTACTACCTTCCACTACTGTAAGACAGCAATGCCCACTAGTAGGACAACTCTGGCATACTAGTAGGAGAACATGCCTCAGATACTCCTCCTAGTGATGCAAAACTGCACAAGTTGACTTTCTGTGTGTTACCTGTACTACTAGTGAAGCACTAGATATCTAACTGGTACAATGTTGTCATTAGTAATACCAGTCGTAAGCAGTTGTCAACTCATTGTATGACAAAGGGACAATAGTAGAATAACTACTTATGTCTTACTAATCGTATTTTTTTTTCCTCCACTCGAGCCACTTTTGGTTGGTTATCCTTGATATTGAATCAATACTAATGAGGATACTAGCGCAGGAATCTCAAGCAATAAATGGTCAAACGGCTTTCCAAATGTGACAAACTGAGAGTCTAGCGTACCTTTGGCACGTGTCTTCCTCAACTCTCGATCTTGAATGAAGCCTGCGAACATCTGCGACTCCATAAAGACACCCAGGAAGCGGCGGATACTCTTGGAGGCCACCGATTTGCGGAAGGCTTCTCTCTGGAAAAGGCGCTCGCCGCGTTCGTTCTGGGTGATGAATAGAGAGTAGTGGCCGATGGTCTCCAGGAAGAAGCGAATGAAAGCCTCTGACACCAAACTGTTTAAAGAGTTGTACTCTGCAAACACACAAAAGGGGAAAATAACTTTGGATGGCAGGTTGACACATGTGAAAGGAAAGAATGGGTCTTTTAGTAGCTCGAGAGTAGCCTCTCCTTAAGGAGAAACAGAAGTTTGGCTCAACCGGGCAATAAAATGCACCCACTGCTCTTGACAGCGCAATGCAGACTGAGGGACGCAGCTCGTAAACTCTCCGCCCACTGAGCCTAAAACTAATGAACAAGTGATCTCAATTAATCAACACTGCATGTTTGTCATTATCCCACTATCTCATCATGCTCACAGAGGTGCACGGCCTCACGCATTTCGCCAGAGTCTACCCAAGGTCAACGTTTGACAGTTTGCTACCTTTCAGAGACAGTTTACTGTTATGATTACTGTTTTTTTTAAAAAAAATTTTTATCATCGCTGTTTCACTCAAAGTTATTGTTTGTCGTTTTAGGAAACAACCGAACTTGTTCTAGAGTTGTGAAATTGAATCTACTTTACATGAAATCCAGAGAGGTAATTGTGTTTTTTTAAACGCAGTGAATATGACATTAGAAGATAAAGAGGCTAAGCTAAGAACGAATGAAACACCCTGTCCTGAAATAAATATTTTCGTATTATTTTAGTTCGTAAAACCACTTAACATTACATAAATGCTTGCGATAACAATGTTAGAAGTGTCCTGGATGATCTATTATTTATTAGGTTATTAGAATTTATGCACACCCATAATCTCTGACTTCTACAGGTTATAGGTCATATAGGGTGGATCGAGTTTTAAAATAATTTATCTTGGTCTCATCTTTTATTTTGCATAAATATGACATTTGAACAAGGGTGTGTAGACTTTTTATATCCACTGCATATTGTACAGAGTCATGAAATGCATTGTTTTTCAACCTTGTCATTTCTTGAGACGGTGAGTTTGGGGTTTTCGTTCGCTGTAAACTATAATTATTATAATTATACAAAAACAAATAACATCTCTGCACAGTGAATCTATAGAATAAAGTTTTACACAATATTAAAATGTGTTGCTATGTGACTTTATACCATTTGATGTCATTACGCGAAGCGTCATGGAAAGAACAGCAAGCAGTGCAACTTTTTTTTAACTACCGTATACATTTGCATACAGGAGCTGTTGTTCTCCCGAAGACGGAAAGCATCAGTCTCGCCACAGTGAGATAGTTTGTCACTTATTTACCTTCGTCCGACTCGCTGTCTGAGTCCTGACTGATGATGTCGTTCCTCTGCTCCAGCGCTTGTTCGAGAGCTGCTTGAAGTTTCCGCGGCAACAGTGAGGCCTCGTCATCCATCTTTAAACAAACGCATGAAAAGACAAACAGCACAATGGCCGGAGATCAACAACATTTCACAGGATGATTTTCAATATGTTTCACAGCCTTGTGAAAGGTCTACTTCCACGTGTTAAAAGACAAACCTGTCTGATGAAACGGTCAGTTCCGAGGTCCACCATCAATGTCTGACGAGAAGAATTAGACAAGTCAGAAACCAAAAGTATCTCCTCAAAGTTGTTTGCACTCACCAAGGACAACCGAATGACATTGAATGCAAGAGTCCGATCAAAATATCTGCCTTTACAAACGTCAATTGGCAACATGGGGAGCAACGTGGATGTTGAGCAGATGTGGCTGACGGACAGACAAATCCACTATCAGAATATGGCAGCCAAGATTTTAATGCTCTCCACCTGCTTGTTCGCTTGAGTAGTTCAAATAATACATTTCGTAGAATATTTCACTTCCCTGTCCTGAGTAATCTTACGTACTGCTCATTTTCCATGGACGTATATATGGAAGAGAGTATTTTCCCCTGCGCATATAACGCTGTCATAATAATTGCCTCTATAAATTGATGGACTACAATGATGCTTTGAAATATGAGTGCATTTATATCTCAAATCATCTTTTATGATTGAAATGAATGGATATGCCATGAATCCAAGATCCAGACTTAAGGTACCTCCAAAAAAAGCACCCAAAAATGCTGTGATGTGTATTTCAATGAGAAAAAAATAGCACTATATAAAACTGTACATAAATAATATTTTTTTAAAAGCATACAGTAATTACACTCATTGTCACAATGTATTCACTTGAATACTGCATCTTCTGGTGTGCTTGCCTTGGCTACTCAGGGGCAGTATAAAACAACCGAATAAACTGTTCATTGAGACATTATCATGAATCTTGCTTGAGTTTGAGGCAGAACATGCCCAGCTGCAATATGATTGTCTGCTGGATGCAGTCCTGTCTGGATGCAGCAGCCAATTACATTGCAGGAGCAGGTTTCCTGCCGAGAACTCAAGTGGGATTCATAACATCCTAACTCCTCCCTCAGCTTATCAGTACGGCACTAATGCTCCTCGTGATACACGGAGGCTACAGGGTATAGCAATGTGAGTACAGTACTGTAAAAATGTCTGTGTACATGTTGCTGCATCATTTGTTTTCAATCACTCTTTAATGGGACAAAGTACCACAACGCAGATGCTAAATAGCATTAGCATTAAGCTTGTGGACTAAAAGGCTAAGCTATATTGATTTTCAAAAGTCCCCTTTGTCTAATTATCTTATAGGGTATTTTCTTTGCTGTCAAATGTCAAAACAAGTCGAATTTGATCCGACCCGTAAAAGTGTTTTACCATAAGTGAAACGAAAGCTGAGTGAGCAGGGGCCCAAAACGTTTTGGCTGGTGTTCCACTGCCTGAGACACAGTGCCAGCTGGACATCTCTCATACAGCTGCGTTATCTATGTGAAATACTGCATACAATGGGGACTTCAGGTCTAAAAGGGATTTTAATAACTCAGGAACACACAGGTGCCAATTTTATCACATCCAACAGTTGTATTTTAACAAACTCAATACGACCGAGGACACAATGCACTCTAAAAGGACTCAGGTCAAAAAATAAAAAAAAAATTGGGTTAAATTTGGCCCAATTTCTGTGTTTAAAAAAAGGGCCGACCCACACTTGGGTCAATTTGAGCCCAAAATTTGGGGTATTCAGTTTTGACCGATGTTTTCGGGTTAAATGAATTAATATCTTATAGCATTAGGGAACCAACAATTTTAAATTCATATTTATTTTACATAAGTCAGTGATTAATTGGATATTTAAATTGTATTCTGACAAATACCAGGTATCCGCCTAAAAAAACTCACATCATTCAGCTCCTAATGTCTAAATTATGAAGCAGTTAAAAAGCAACGTCATGCTTTTGAAATTATGAAAATGTGTAAAGTATTCACCAAAACAGCGATAAATACAGAAATCCAAATAAAAATGTGTCGACTTGAACATGGTGCACAGCGTGCAGACATATAAACGAGAAGTCGATGGCTGTCATGATCACCAGTCAGACTTGATTGGTTGATTTTTGACCCAACAAAAACATTACAGGCATATAAACCAATAAATGTTTTATTGGTTTTTTTATTAACCAACAATTTGGTTACTTTCATAAGAAATAACCCAGAATTTCAAACAACACAAACAATCCAAAAATTGAGTGATAAATAATAATAACAATAATAATAAAAAATAAGCCAACTGTTTTTCAAGTGTGAATTAACAGCATTTGAACTCAATGTTAAAGTAGATCTTGATAAAAACTTTCAATAAATGTAATAGTTTTCCTGTTTTGACAGATTAATCCATGAAGGTTTAATGGCAGTAAAATGCTAATCTGTGACACACTCAAAAGAATCCTCCACAGTCGCTGAAAATCAAATTAAAAATATATTGGAGTGGGGGGTTTTGGGGGTTAATATAGTACAATTACTGAGTCACTGACATTGAATGGCAATTTATTTTTGATCGGATTCAGGTCAAGGGATACAAATTGTTCCATGAAATCAGTAGAGAGGTGAGGACAAACAGAGAGAACTTACTTCCTCTACAGGCAATTCTTTGAGCTTCGGCAAGGAGCTGGAAAGAAGCCCCACCAGGAAGGGAGTGGGACAGCAGACAATGTCCAACATGGACCCGGGAAGAACAGGAATGAAGGTGTGTTGCCAGGAGAAGGGGTAGAGCAGCGCGACTACGGCGTGCATGCAGCTGGACAGCGTACTGATGGTGGGAGACAAACACGCAATTTCATCACTGCTTTGCAGAGGCTACGCCATAAAACAATTATGAATATGAGTATTTATATTTATATTTATGAGATTTTGTTCGACAACAGGGTAAAGAAAGTTGAGCTACTAATATGCCAAAGTCGTTAAATGTCATTTAGTATTGGAAAACCAGTACTGGTAAGAGTGTGAAAAAAAAACAGACAGTCACCGCTGAATTTGTCGTACATTTAAATGCAGTACAGTTACTCAGAAGAGCTCAAACCTCTGCCAAGGCTAAGGGTGCAAAATTCTGAATTAGCAAACTTTACATGGGAATTATCAAGAATGCACAGGACTTAAAAGGAAAATTGCACAATTGCAGCATAGTTGGATAAAAAATGCTGATTAATCCTTTGCAGAGTCTGACACAGATTCAATTGACTTTTTAGGCTCAGGATATGTGAAGCGGTTAAATCTACTGGGGGCGGGGGAGCGGCAATATAGCATCCAGATAGATACATTTGAGCTTTATGTTATCAGGGACAAAGCAGAGCATTTTAGTTATTATTTTTTTAAATTAAAATATTTGCAAGAGGGCAGCATGTTGGGCGACTGATTAGCACGTCTGCCTCACAGTGCAGAGATCGTGGGTACGATTCCGGCCCCGGCCTTGTTGTGTAGAGTTTGCATGTTCTCCCCGTGCCTGCGTGGGTTTTCTCTCGGTACTCCGGTTTCCTCCCACGTTCCAAAAACATGCATGGTAGGTTAAATGAACCACTATATTGTCCTTAGATATGATTGTAAGCATGAATGGTTGTTCATCTATGTGTGCCCTGCGATTGGCTGGCAACCAGTTCAGGGTTTTCCCCCACCTACTGCCTGAAGACAGCTGGGATAGGCTCGAGCGCACCCGCAACCCTTGTGAGGATGAAGCAGTTTCAGATAATGAATGAATGGATGGGTAATTTACATGATAACTCAACTTTTGTTTGAGGAAGCATTTGCATTTCCATTTAATTCAACCCTTGATTTTTTTTTAATAATTCAAAATGCATTCTATATCTTTTAACATTAAACATCACATAAACATTATATTTTCTACTCCTAATTTAAGAGCAGTAATGTTTCAACATTGAACAACATTTTTTTTAATACCTTTCTAATGCCATGTTTTCTGTTAGATTATTAGACTGTGGCAAGCCAATTTAAAAAAAAAAAATGTACATGTTGCCACACACTTCACACACGGTCCATTTAGTAACTGCTGTAATAAAGTGAAAGACATTTCGTGTGTGAACCCACGTCAAAGCGCACGGATACAGAGGAGTTAGCATGATGAATTATTGAGTCATGACCACTGAACATGCTGCAACAGTTAAATCGGAGCCCTGTTGACGCAAATAGCCCCAAAAATGCAGCAGTTCTGGTCCCCTTTGACAGCTGTGGTATAACATCCAGATCCCAAATAGCAGCCCGTCTTTCTCACGATCCGTCACTTGTTGACAGTGGCTGACCCTCCTCCTCCTCCCCATCCCCTCTCGTCCGCTACATACGGTCCAGTCTGTTTCACAAGAGAGTGAAAATAAACCGTGGGTCCGATCACACACGCACGCACGCACGCACGCACGCACACGAGCACGCGCGCACACACACACACACACACACACACACACACACACACACACATAGCAGAGCACCAACAAATCAGTATGGATCAAGAACAAGACCCGGGATCAAACATGGTATGCAAACACACCCCACTTGAGATACACTTTTAATGAGAAATGTTTCTCTGTGCTCAGTGTCATCAAGAGTCAGCATAAACAAAAGTCGCTCTCTTCTATGTGACTTCACACACGCACACACACACAGCCCAGTGAGACATCATCAATCTGTACTGATAAACCATTATAGTCTGTTCCTATTCACGGCGGCATTTTGGAGTCAAACGACCGGCACTATAATATGATTTTTGACACAGTAAAATGAAATTAAATTGGCGAAAACCCATATCGCATTATTTTCAGTATCTTCAGAATAAACAACAGGCACCACTTGCAGTTTTGTTTTGGCTTGTGGAAGTTTTGATAATACCGAACAGATCCCGTCCCAGGAGGCACTGACGGGGGCACAGATCTTGGTGAGAGTAGCTGCGCCACAGGCTAAACGCAGACACACACACACACACACACACACAACACACCCACACACACACACCCACACACACACACACACACACACACAGACGCGCGCGCGCACACACACACACACACACACACACACACACACGGTGATACCAATGAACTCCCCCATAACACCACCACGCACACTGCTGGGAGAAGATGAACTTGCAGGGAAAACACTCGGCACTAGCAGTGGTTGCCGCTCAAATCTACATAAAGAGAAGACCAACACATACATAATTGTGTCATAAAAACAACAACATGACACTAAACTTCCTGCCGCAAATTAAAAAAAAGGCAGAATAGATGACACCCTGCAAACAATGTTTATAATTACCTATAGATGCCACAAGATGGCAGCAAACACTACTTTTGTCTGACTTGAAACTCCTCAACTCACTTCAACATACCTCCTTCGCACCAAGGTACCACAAGGTGGTGACAAAGCACTACTCTTGTTGAAATAAAGCTCCTAAGTTTTGATAAAAATAGCTTTTTAGCACCAAGATGCCACCAGAGGGTAGCAAAGCCCTTTCTATGTCAATGAAATGCCTCAATTTACTTCAACAAAGCTCCTTGGCAGAAAATTGCCACAAGAGGGCAGCAAAACACTACTTTGTTTCAACATGTCATAAGACATTGCAAAAGTAATACTTTCATTTCTTTGACCTGAGCATAAAAAGTCAAAACATAGTGAGGGATAGGTTCCATAATGGTTGGTTTGTTACATCGGCAGCTGTTGTGAAAGCGCTATATAAATAAAGATGTATTGTCTTGCATTGTATAAAAACTATCCCCATAACCATAAGATGAATTCATGAAATGTCCACTTCCAAATATGCAGAGCTTCAATTGAATTCGTCATTCTTGCAGTTAATTCCCTGTAAGTTCGTGCTGCTCACACTTGAGATTTGCAGCTAATTCTGGTTGCTAGTCCTGCCTCAGTATGCGGATAGTATATATGCAGGAAACATGTGGTCAAAATATATTTTGAGGGATAAAATGAGGCAGTCAAAATCCCGCATTCATGTTCCACAGAGTAAAACTGGCACAACTCCATAAACATCAAAACAAAGCAAAGCAGCACTGTCAGACTTAATTGGCCGAGTAGGAGTATCGTTCCTGCACGTCTAAACTTTTAATGGAACTCTGGTTCGATTTCCTCTTTGGCCTGTTTGTTCAGATCAGCTGATCAAACCAAGCTCATTTACCGTAGGTTGTCTAAATGCAGTTCCAAACAAATGCCGGCACAGTTTATTGTGGTGACAAAGTAATCTGGCCTCCATCCAAACCAGCTGGCATATTAATCAATTGGGTTTGGCTCTAATTGGCATAATGGTGTAAGTATCTACAGGTTGCAAATAGTTGACACTATTTCCTTGTCAAACATGTTTAGCGTGTGGATGGTTAGCGAGACATTTATTTTCATTTATATGTCAGCTAATTTTAGAATTAGCTGACATATAGGAGGTCATGAAAAGAGAGCTACTATTATTTCTTTTTGTACCCATACAGAGGAATAATTTAAATTAGGGTGGCACAATATATGAAAAAAATATCAGCATTGTGAGAATGGCACATTGCAGTCCAGAACGCAAAAGACATGCAAGAAATTAATGTGGAAGTAGTGTATACTTGAATGTAACTTTGACTAATCAGGTGCAACCTTAAATGCACATTGCCATTCAATAGAAAAGAGGAGAACAGTACCTAAGGGCATAACTAACACGAAATTACTGAATTAGATAAGAATACATTTAGAATTTTCTGCATTTAAAAAAAAAAAAAGTCAAAAGATGTTGTTTCTTTAGTTACACGTTGAATATCGCAATATCGCAATTCGTCTCTGTGTGCCCTGCGATTGGCTGGCAACCGGTTCAGGGTGAGGATAAAGGGGTTCAGAAAATAGGTGGATGGATGGATGCATATATAGATACACACACACACACACACACACACACACACACACACACACACACACACACACACACACACACTCTAAATATCCACTGAAGGCTCAGGTCCAAAATTCAAATTCACCGCCCGCACCGCTGATTGGTGTGTGTGTGTGTGTGTGTGTGTGTGTGTGTGTGTGTGTGTGTGTGTGTGTGTGAGATGAGAGGGGCTTTATTTTGTCTCTCTATTTTTCTATTTATGTATACTGTAATTTGGTTCGCCTTCCCTTAATTAACCTGACAACTGAGAGCGTTCGCTTCCATAAGTATACAGCATACAACTTGGATCCAACCTCTGCAAGTTGACTGAGTTTGGCGTGCCAAATGTGACTTTGCTGATGGATAGGAATGTAGGATAACAATGTCGTTCAAAGTGTGTGATATTCCAGTACAATAGTTCCGTGCACCCAGTATGGCTACAAAACAAAGAACTATTGTCCAAGCACTTTTCCTCTCACTGTTTCCCTCTTTTTCTGGATGTCCATTTCTCGAGAAAGACGCATACATCATGGAAGAGCTATTCTGGGAATGAATAACGTCGCAAAACCCCAGAGGGAGAAGCCTTTTTATCATGGCAGCCATTAATGTGGCATTGATGTCAGGGAATAAGAACTCTGCACGTAAGCACGATTACTAATCCAAACAGAGGCCCATTATTCAGCAATTCGACTGACTCTATCGTTAAGACTTGTCGATTTCATAATTACACATAGCTTGTAATTGTATGATGCAGGTTGTGTGACTCATGATGTTATCTCCTCTGACGTTTGGTTTCATGGTTTTGTGTCAACAAGCACACGTGGGCCGCCGGGCACGGCATCAGAAGACAAATGGTGACGGTCGAGCAGCACACAGGAAGTGCATTCCGTCCCCTGCGCAGTCACTGCCCTCACTGATGTTTGTTTAAACTGGCCTCTTTTTGCATGGGGACTCACATCTCCTCCCTTGCCCCCGGCAGTACAAAAACGCCTCACTAGCCTGCGACAAGTCGTCCCTCGAGACCCCTCATGACTTGTTGAGCTTGACTGAGAGAATATGACTGCCGTATTGATCTTTGCTCATCTATTTGAATATGTGACTCCTTCCGGGTTCATGGAGGATGACGGAGGACGTGACAAAGGGATTCGAATGGCATTTGTTTTCCGAGTTGCTGTATTTGTGTCACAATGACGCACATGTTTAACAGTCAAAATGCATTGTGTAATCAGCTCCTTTATCTGGATCTCCACCTCAATTTAACAGCTCTTTCTGGCCCCTGCACCACGCCTCAAAAAAAAAAAATTGTGGCAGTAAGTTATGCGTTTGTGTCACTGTGCTAAATTATTAGCGTCATACACGCGGCAACTTTGTGGTGAAAGGGAATTTTCATTTGTGAGTAACATATCATCGGTCATATTGCATTATTGCCTTAGTCGTTTCTCATGATTTTTGGAAAACAAGTAAAAGCACAATTTTTAAAAATTGTGATATTGGGTCTTATCCCTTCACTTACTTGTTCACCCAAAGGGTAGACGTTTTTGTTGTAATATCGTTCAACAAAACAATGCGTGTTCTAAAAATTGTGTTGTTTCTTGTTTTCCAAAAATATTGAAAAATAACTCAGGCAATTATGCTATGTGGCCGACAAGATGAAAACATTGAGTCTGAAAGACGAAAATTACTTGGAGAAATTGTACTAAAGATTTACAAGAAAGCATCTCCCATTTCCAGTTACTAATATTTTGAAAATTATTCATATCCCCGATAGGCTTTTTCCACCATTCTTGATGATCCAGGTAACTTCTAGCATAATCTATCGCAGCATTTTAATCAATCATACATTTAGCACTTTGTGTATGCCTCTATTGAGGATGGATTGTAATAATTGGACATGGAATAATTTCAACACTAACTAATTTAGAACAGTCAACTCAATACAGTATACATAGCTTGGTGGTTGGCGTCAGTACCATAAGTCACTTACAATTTCATATTAGATTTTTCATATTTTGTTATTGCATTCATATCCAATACTGAAAATGATTTCAAAATATATGCTTCCGATTATGTTTTTATCACATCACAGGGTGATGACAAAGCGTTCCACCTTTTATGCAAAGGTTTAAATCTCTGAAATTGCTTTAAGAGTTTTTGTGAACTACGACAGGGAACCTCACCTGAGTTTATCAGCCACAAAGATGACCCTGCGCTCCAGCAGCAGTGACGCAAAGACCCGAATAACCTGGCGAACACCGAGGCAACCAAACAGGCTGTCAAAGTCCACGTGCTCCAGTCTAGAGTCGGTAGGCCGCCTCAGTTCGATGACCTGAGCAACCACAGAGTTCACATCAAGTTTACAACAAGTGTGCAGAACCAGGCAAGATCACACATGAGAAACTAAAAGAGGCTTTCACCACGTTTCCTTTCAAATGAGAATTACTAAGAGCACTTAATGCATACGATGAAAGTCCTGACATGAACGGGCTCTGTTCTGACCTCATTTCCTGCACCAGGAAGAAAGGTCTTGACTTTGATGAGCTTTCCGGGTGCAGGAAAGGGCGACTCCATCAGGCTCCTCATGAAGGGATACACCAGCGCTGCTGATACGCCTCGCCGCCGCTCGACCTCATCTAAGATCTAAACGACGGTGAGGAAAAGAGTGTGGTATAAATATGGACATTATGGATGGAGGTATCTCTGAATAACACAAAGCCTGCTGCAGTTTGAATGATAATGTTGCTGTCACGACAAAATATGACTTGTTTTGTGTATACTGTATACTGTATCAAAAACAATTCAAATGAATTAATTAATTAAAAAGAATCTACAGAGAACAATAAGGTTGCTTCCTTTACATTTTGCTCCAAGAATTCAATTGCTTGCCCACTGATAAAACAATACCTTTACTTAAAATTAAACAACAGTTGCATATTTGCACATTTATACAATTAGGCCAACTAAAAACAAACTTAAGTTAATGACACAATACAATGGCACCCACTCGATTTTTCAATCTAAAAAACTGTTTTTTTTTCATCCTAAAAACTGCATTTCTACTGTCCTGTGTATATTGTTTGTATGTACAATATATTTATTGTTTGTTTGTATCTACAGATGTAACAACATCCAAATGTCACAATACGATAATTATCACGATAGTGTGGGAGGCTGGCGATGTTAAAAAGCTCACAATACTGTGTCAATATTCTCACTCCACAACATACTTTATTCATTTGGCAAATGACGCTTGTGTGAGTGGCTGTTTACTGAAATGCCTCTAAGGCATTTACTTACAAAGTAGTGCGGCTCACGTTGAACATGTTAAAAACCTTGCCACAATTAGTTTGAAGAGTATTCAGACAGAGGGCATAGCATGTGCCAAAGCGCTTGATAGCTTTTTTTTTCTAGATGGCTAAACAGTGACCGGCTGTGACTGTAATGTGATGTGATTATTGTGGGAGATGGGTACAAAAAATGAATAAGGACCAGGTGAGCGTTACAGTCCGTGATGGATCCGTCCGCTGGAGCAGCAATTTATGGAAACAGGAGGCACTGGTAATGTGAACGACACCAGAACCTTGAAAAGCAACATTAAAATGCTCTTTACTTTGAAATTGTCGTGCAGTGTTGGGCAGGGGTTTGATTCCCGGATTAAATGATGGAATAAGCGATTGGCTTGTGACAGCCCTGTTATTATCCAAATGTTTTAATTATTGGGATTGTGCTTTGCAAGAGCGTCACTGTATCATAATGTGGGGAGCTACTGTATATTACAAAGAAGCAAATGATTACATTATTAGGCTAAATGAGATGAATTAAAATTGAGCATTAATATTTCTGCATGCATTTGTATACCCCAAGAGGTGTCTGATTAAGTTTGCATCTAATTGTTTTTTTTTTTTTTCCTTTTTTCGTTTTGTTTTGTTGTCATGCTTTGAACTTTTTTTGGACTAAAGTGGAAACGCTAACTTGAGGAACTCAGAATCTAAAAAAAAAAAAAAAAAAAAAGCAATACAAATGTGAGGTTTCATGGACAGAAATAGAGTTGAAGGTCAAAATTCAGCTCAAACGGCACACTATCTGGGGTATATGTGCTCGAGTGTGTTTGCATGAACTCACTGTGGAGAACAAGTCAAAACATCCGAGCCTGCTGATGACACAGTACACTTCTGGAAGGCGTGGTCCTTTTCCACTCGGCTGAAAGAGAACGACCAAATTGAACAGCAGCGATGACAGACTTACCAGCTTTAAAGGACTGTAGTTTTACGAGTGAAAGAAGGAAAGGGTAGCAAAGGTTAAAAGGTGTGGAATTCACCTAAAAATAGAACTCCGACTGCTCATGTTGTTGAGAGATTGTCGCAGAAATATCAAAACTATTTGAGGTGAGCCGCTTGCTAAACACAGGTGCTTTTTCTGCTCCCGCTGATGCTATCTACCTTCCCAACATTCACTCGCTCGCCGAGACACGAACACAAGGCCTCAAGAAACGCCAAACCTCGTGTCCATATTAGGTATACCATTTTCTCTTGTTTCTCCTCTGCCTTTCCTAATGGATGATTAAATCAACTGTGTGGAGCTTGATTCAAGTGCTCAGGAATGCTCGCTTGCTGCCAACGTTCTGGACGGACAGGAGGGAGGAAAAAAAGCCACCGACGGAGAGGGGCTCACCTCTTCTTCTACCTTCATAAAAGTATTCGATCAACATTCATGCGGGCTTCATCACGGGAGGCAAAGTACAAGTGGAGGTGCCCACTACATTGACCTTCCCAGTGACTCTTTGAAAATGTACGTTAACATTCGCAGAACGACCAAATGGCAAATTCCACATCATGAAGGTCACCACCCGCAAGTTATAAACTGGGCAGGCAGCTCAATCAAAAAAGGTAAATTAAAAAAAAGTTGAAAACGCTCTGTGGCCTCATTATGAGAAAGAGATGTCCTTAAATTACACAGTTAAGATCTTTTAAGATCGTTTCCGATGGTTTTGCCACCCCAACTTATATACTTATAAATTGAAAGAGGCTCCGCAAATGTGTCCTGAGCAAATACAATTGACAGCAAGTAAAAACTCCCCACGAGCGAAAAGAAGCCTTGAGGAGAAGCAGACAGGATCAGACGGCCATCTGGCTTGATCAGAGGTGAATGAGAGGCCAAATTCGGCGGCATCTTTGACGTCTCTATTTTTAGGACAAATACGGCGATTGCAAATTCACTATTTATCTTTGTTTCAGACATCTTGATGAAGAAGGGGACAGTGTGTAGTCCTAACCAAGCGAGGACTGATGTTTGGATTTGGTTATTTTGGTCAGATTGAATCAGAATTCCTTTCAGTAATTTCCTCCCTTGGGTACAAGAAAAACAATCCTTAAAAGTATGGAAACCCATTCAAGCATTTATTCGATTTTCTTGATATCTATCTTCAGTTCCTTATAAAAGTATGCTCTCTGTCCTCACTAGTAAGAGGATTCAGTTCTTATTTTATTGCACTAAAGCCTTCTTTCTGTGTAACATTTCCGCACACAAGCAGGACATCTCTGGCATATGAGCAGGACAACTACATATTGCTATTGAGCCAAAACGGTGTACAGTATTTATTGACATCTACGCTGCTTGCTACTAGTAGTAAGAATGACGCGTTTGACGGCTTTATGTGAAGCTGTCCGAGCATTTGTTTAACATCAGCCAAAAAATCCATATCAGTCAGACCCATTATTGAAAAGAGCACAAAAAGATTTGACCTCGGCTTAGGCGTCATTAAAAAAAATCACCAGTTTTCTTGCATGGAAGAAAAATTAAAATACAACCGCTAAAAGTTTAATAGCACAGAATACTGCTTTTAAAAATATGAAAGGAAAAGCCAGTGTCATGTTTCAGTGTCATGGTTGGCGAGAAGACTGACGTAGCACAAGGCCAGTGCGAGTGATTGTGTGAGAGGGGCGAGTGTTGAACCCTTTCACAAGGAAAAGTATGGGTGGTGACACCCATATCCCCCATGGGTGCGACACCCATGTAATGTCAATCAACAAGGGAACTCTAAAAGACAACAACTAACATTGTTCTTTGCTAATCTTACTCATAGTCAATCAAGGAAATGTGGTGAAATGCGCATTCAGACTTCACAATAGAGGAACTGTCTTTTATGTCTTGCCTTATTCAAGCTCACGCTACTTGGATGGTTATGTTAACATTTTTCTCCTACTTTCGTGCTAATTAGCTGAATCGTTTTGTGCTACAGGATTCACACAAATGTACAAGTGTGCGTGTGTGTGTGTGTGTGTTTTTTTTTTTTAATTACACTGTGTTCATATACCTTCCTCCAAGCCCAGAAAATCAACTGTGGCGTCATTGGAAAACCCTATCTCATGTGCAAATGAAAAGGTCTGTCAAAGCAAACAAGGCTCAGCAGGGTGTACATGGAAGCACAGAGGGTGGGGAGGTGAACGGTAGCTGACCAGCAGGCGTCTGCAGTAGCCAAATCTCCTGCTGCCGTCTTCTCCGGTCAACATGAAGGAGAAGGTCTCACTGTAGCATAGAGCAACAATTGACACAGGGTAAGGCATGGCAAAGAAGGCTCATGTGAAAAGCAATCCATTGTATTCTGTAGAAAAGTGACAAATTGTAATACTAAAAACAACTGATTTTTTTTCTAGATTTTGATTTTTATCAGAATTGCAAGTAACATTTTCTTGATTTTTTTTTTTTTTTATGCACCAACTCCTAATCTGCTCTCGTTTGTCTCTAGCTTGATAGATTTTCATCATCATCATCATCATCATCATCATAATAGTATGTTTAGTAGTATTTATGAATTGAGAGTTGGTTCAGCAGCAGGTGGAATTTTTATCTGAAGTTTCATGTCTATAAATTGCGGTCCATGGTAAAATCCTTTTTGCACATGCTTTTATGGGTCACACTAAAATGAAATTATATACATTTTTAAATCCGCATCAAATATGTTTAGGGACACAAAAATCTGTTGACCAGTCATGCAACTGCATTGAAATTATTGTCAGAAATACTTCTGGGGTCGTGTTTGGTTTTTCTAAAAGTCAAGGTATGAATATGCCTTACTATGAATATTTATGTAGTATATATATATATTTTCTATTTTATATGTATGTGTTTATAAATACACACTCAGCCATACCTGGAATACTCCGTCACGGGATTCCAGTCTTTTGCATCCGGGAAACAGAACTGAGGAATAGCTTTGAGCCTCTGTTCTGCTTCTCTCATCTGCTTGGTGAGCCTCTCGAGCTGCAGGAAAACAGAAGTCGTTCAAATAATTCTGTCCGCAGAGATCTACGTTTGACATGATTGTTTAATATACCACCTACACGTGAGCAGTGCCATTGTGACACAAAACAATCGTTGATACTTATTTGCCTCTGAAACGATTGGGCACACCACAGCTCTATTTGCTATTGGTACTACGGTATTTGTAGTACGTGGCCAGCTGTGTGGCAAGATGTTTCCTTATGGCTATTGTAACCAAAGATAAATCATCACTGCGTTAATGTAACTTTTGATTATAGATGGCGAGAAAAATAAAACGGTTGTTTTCTGAATTCGCTCTCTGTTTGAAATGAATGGTGTTTTGTAAGAATCGTAGTAATTGTGGAGTTTTTGACCACTAGTCTGTTAGGTGACTGTGTTGATAGGGATTTTTTTCCACTTTATTGTGCACATCTACGAAGACAGCGATGGCCCGCCGCTGCACACTGTGCGACATGGCCGAACATGATTTCAGCAAACCATCGTGAAAAAAAATGAAGGTGATTGAGCACCGCACAGCTACAGACGTGCAACCCTGCATCAGCTTTTGAGGCTTCACACATAATATATTCGCCTACTATTTTTATTCAACCACAAAAACATCTTGAAGTTGTCAAGGAAGACGCGAACAACAATACAGGAGAGAGTGTGGATCGTTTGAAACGCTGTTCAGTGGCCCCATTCACTAACTGCACCTGTGCATTTTGGTAAGAAATTATCAATATAATTCGGTATTAGTGTAAAGTGCAATATGCTCGTGCTTATTATTTGGGGGTGGGGGGGGGGGTTTCAGGATAAGTGGTGTTGAATATGAATGGATGGATAGAATGTAACTGGTGTTTTGTGTTTTATGATTGCAATTTGGTAACTAAAACACTTGAGGCCTGATCCACTCAGGGCTTGCACAAACAGATGGCTGATCTACGAACTGAGCGCGATCAGGATTGCGCCTGCAATATGTGCTTTATTGTAATGCAGTTCATCTTGTACGGTGTGGGAAGAGGATAAGCACATAGGTGAATTTAGAACACACAATGTGATCTATTAGACGTTTGATGTATTTCATGAGCTGATTTAGCATCTTTAAATAAAGCATCTGAGAAGAGAGGGTAGCATAGCGCAGGCAAAACAAATAAGAGGCAGCTGGGAGAATGTTTTGGCTTGTGTAAACATTTTTGAAATCCCAGAAACAAAAATTATTGCAACATGTCGTCTCCAGCAATGCAATTTTGGAGCTTCTGAATGACCTAACGGCCGACTTGGGGCCACTCACAGGAAAGAGCCATGCCATAAGGACAGAACTCCTCTTCACTCATTTTAAAATGTACACATTTCTTATGGGTCTTTCAGTGTCCCAGAGCAGAGTTTTGCCTGTTTCAGCACACGCAGGATGGGCGCATACTGTAAAAATCAATTGCCACCCACATGGGATGAGCAAAATAAAAAACATGGCGTATATGTGGTGGCTGGCTTCCCCAAAACTATCAAGTGACAGATTTATTTTTTGTAATTCAGTAATATGTTTTTTTTTTTTTTTGTAACCTTCCAGTTCCATCCCTTCAAATTTCATTTTGCACTTGCAGTACTCTCCCACGGTGAAAACCACCAGCCGTACAAAACCCAGCGCAAAAAACTCTTTCAAATGCGGTGGTCTCCACCCCTTTTACACCCGTTGCCAAGAGCGTGTGCAATCTGTTAGAATGAGTGAACACGCAATTAAGCACCCACTATTTGGCTTCTAAATAAATCAGGCCTCAGGTGAGGCGCTGGGTTGCTTTTTTTCGTCAGACCACACATGAGAGAAGAGAAATCACGTCACTTGAAATTCTTGTCAGGTGTAAAATATGTGAAAAGACCAACAGCGGGTTACAATGACCAAGCCCTCACCTTGGGGAACTGGTAAGTGACCTCCGGGGAGTAGGAGTTCTTGCTCTGCTTCTTTTTCAAAGACACAACAACAAAATACTCGAAGAGTTCTCTCTCCTGCCACTCGATTAGTTGCAACTCCAGCGTGCGGTAGCTGGGGGCCCGTCGAAGGATGGACTGTAATTTCAACAACCTCTGGGTGTGAGCTGAGAATGGGAATGAAAGAATAATCCATGAAAAGCAATCTTAGATCATATATCAGCAAATTAACAGATGCAATCTTATGAGATCCACAGCTTGAATTCACTTTTGCTGGTAAAACTGCTCTACTTTCACAGAAGTGTCGCACCTCAGCCCTGGAAAAACCGGCGATGTGGTCACTCACCTTTGAACCTGTCATCAGAGTCGCTCTCACTCTCGCTGTTGTCATCTGAAGGGCAAACGGGAGACAGACAAGAAGCTTTTCTTCAGTGCAAAGGGCAATTTCACACACATGTGTTGAGGCATTGGGAAAGATGGCGAGAGATCTATTTAAGGCAGTTTGGATGCTAATATCTCTGCTTTAAAAAAAAAAAAAAAAAAAAAAAACCAACAAAAAACCCCCAAAACAAAACGACTATTTGAAAACCTTTGTAAGGAATTTCCGAAGAATTAAAACTAGTGTTTAGCATATTTACAAAACCGAGACGGGGTTAAGCGGAACCATTTAGTCTCTTTTCATTTTGGCATGTTTGACACAATATTTGCCACTTAAATTGACGAACAGCTGTTAAATTTGACGGAAGGGGTCTTGCAAAGTATGAACTTTCTTAATCCTGCAGAGAACCGAGGTTACAATATTTAAATATTTTGTTTAGTATTAAAACCACTGGAAATGCGCTTTGCTGCTTGGCTCCCGCTGCAGTTGTGATGTACTGTACGTCTTGTCAGCAATCGAGGTATCATGGATAGACGTTTTGTGCCTTATAACTCCTATTTTAAAAAAAAAAAAAAAAAAAAAAAAAACCCAAAGCATACCTCTCAAAGATGAGGTGTCAAGATTGGTCATGGACAGCTTTTTAAGTCTCTTCTTCCCACGTTTACTGCAATAGATGGAGTTGATTCTCTGGACCAACTGTAAACAGATGACAATGTGGTTTGAGCTTAACAAATACAAAAAGCAGTCGTGCGTGTCTCCTCACAAGTAATGGTTAATAAGCATATCAGTACTACTGAACAGAATACTGGAGATATGATTGACTGCAAGCAAAGTTTTACTGTGGGACAGGAGGCCTCCTTTCGGAGACCATAAAACAGCCTACCTTGTCCTCCACGGTTAGTGTTGCGCACCAGTACAATGCTGCCCGTATTACAGTTTCAACATTGAATGTTTTTTAAGATCAGCTTTTGTCAATAAAAATGTTGGCTCTATTTTCTGGATTTCTCAGCTATTCCAAGGCCCGCCGCACACCAAGTGGAACCTGAAGCAACTGGTCCGTCGCGGAAAAATTACAGCTAGTGACTTCTCGGAATGCATGGATAATGTTAATCCTGAAAGAATGAAGCCATGTTGTTGTTTTTAGCCAATACTATGAAATAAATCTACTGAGTGAGATTCCACTTTTGATATGAAAGATGCAGCACGGGATGGTCTTGTAATGGCACGAAATCCACTTTGGAGAAGAAGTGGTTCGGAAGTGCAGTGGACATGGTGCTCATTCGTAAGCCACGCACAAGGCTGGAATAATTAATACAGTTTGTCCTCCTAACTTCAGCACCTTTTTGCTGTTTTTGGTCGATCCCTTAGAATGTTTTACAATGCATTATGGCATTGTTTTTTGTTTGTTGGTTTGTTTTTTGTGTGTCCTCCTTTTTGTCCAGTGTTTGTCGATTGTCCAGCAGTAATTTGCACACGTAACGTCTTGTTGGACCCAATATGGACGAACCCGCGTGTTGAAATCGTTGCCATAAAAGTGAAATAGTGCAATATGAGGAGTATTTTTCAGTTCTTAGGTATTTTCCAAGCTAAACTAATGAATACCAATCAAGGCGTACATAATATCTAAAATTAATGATGCCTTCCTTGAACTAACTCGCTCCGGCAGAAAAACTGTGTCATTCCTGATATTTTTGCAACATAGCGCAATTGGGGCAAATACTCAAGGACTCGATGGAACAATAGATAGAAGAATCTATTCTGCAAAGATTTGTTAGTGACAGACCTACACTGTAGTATACAGGCTTTGCAAAGGCAGGTGGCCAGTTGAATCTGACTTGATACTCTCACATGATACGACATTTCTGATTGGCTGTTGCATCTGCGATGTTGTGATGCAAGTTTACCGGCAATTCAAATTTTAAATCTCGGTAAGGTCAGTGGCCGACAGTTGTGAAAACTATTTGCTGAACCCTACATACTGCGCAACAGTTCAGTCGGTTTCGGCCCCATCCATTGACACTCGTCTCTCGTCAAGGTAACAAAACATCAATCTTTTTTCCCTTAACACATACCTGACGTTTAGACGCTAAGCAGGTCACAGTTTTATATGAACGTATTTAAAATGTTCTTTTTCTTATTCTGCTGCGCCTGACACTTAAGTCAGCTGGCACTCCTCACGGGAGGCATGCCTCACGCTTTGGAAACCACTGCTCTAAACCAAAGCATTATAAGAATCCTAGAGGCCTCGGAGGGAACACAAGTAGGGCTCTGCGAGGGCTAAGTGGAGGTGTTTGTGTTGGATCCAGCTATGTGTACCTTGGGAATCCGCCAATGCCTGTGTGAGGCCAGGTTATCGCTGGTGCCACAAAGGCTATCATCCAGCAGGCCACAAGAGGAAGCTGATACACCCATCTGCGGGAGGAGCAATGTTTCATCATGACTGTGGCGTTTGGACAACTGTGATACCCGGTGACTCTTCCGGTCGATGGTGCTCAGGAGGCGAAGGGACTGACTGCTGGGTTTGGATGGCAACTAATGAGAGAAAGTAGAAAAACAAAAGGTTAATACCAAATACATCAACCACAATCTATAACCAACATATTTTGCAATTGAAATGAATGGAAACCCCATCTGTCTGTTCCAGTGTACCCCCCAAAAACAACTACAGTTTTTGAAATGTGTTTTTAAAATAGCACTGTACTATAATATTGTACAAACATGGAGTAATAACATAATTAAAAATGTATGTCGGAATGTAATGGGCATCATGACTGAATGATTCCATTCAATTCATGGTGCTGCTCCATCTGGTGTTCCACCGGGCCACCGGGATGCAGCATAATAGTAATACAGACAAAAACGAATCAGATTCACCACTATTCTCAGGAGCTGCAACATTCGTGTTTTTTTTTTAAAACATACGATAAATAATTAATGCTTGTGAGTATTGTGATAATGTCTGTCTATATGTGTTGCACCACCGTTTTTGTTGCTCAAATACAAAAGGGTTATAACACCGCAACTATTGATGCTTTTCATTAGCCCGTCCATGCCGTTTTCCACTGTACGAGCATTAAGAAAGCAGGGGCATTCTTAAGGCAAAGTAGTTTGGGGGTGTTGAATTCAAAACAATTAGCTTTTTTTGTGTTTAGTTTGACAATAACCCTCGTTTGTGAGTGGCAGTTAACAGCTTGAAGCCTCTCTTTAGAATAATTGTTGAATAACTACCAAACTGCTGCTTAATGTGAAGCAAGTTGAGATGAATTCACTGCCAACATACAGCACTGGTATTCAAAGTCATGTTAAAGCACAAAAATCGGCCAAATGACAGCTCGTAAGTCGAGTCACTCTGTCTTAAAATCGCATGTAATCTGAAGAGTGTCAACCCCATAAAGCCTTTGGTTTACCTGAGGTGGAGAGTTTTGCATCCGGTCCATAGCAGTCCAAGATCTGCTGCTCTCCAAATGACAAGTTTTCCGACTCACACTCCTCCGCTTCAGGTCAACATCCTCGTATGGGTTCTCCTTCTCTGTGGACACGATGTTCAGATTCAGTATATCTTGAATTACAAAAAAATTATCATGGGATGAAGTCCATAAGACGGCACAGACTGTGTGGTCAAAAGGGGTAGCTGAGGGTGTCCGGAACTTCAGAAGATCTTACTCATGTTTGTGTGTAAGGCAAGGAGTCAAGGAAGGTAAGTCAAAGGTCATTCCCAGCTGGAGTTCGTTTCTTCAAAACAGTTGTTTTTGGCATTGGGCCCCACAGAACCCAGTGAGCCGAACCGAAGCTGATGAGTCACTGTCCAGGCATGCAAACCGTCTGCTCCAGTGAGGAAGAGGAGGCTCATCTTCATAAAGATTTCTTTGTGTGATAAAACCTTTGTGATAAGTAATTTCCGTTCCTGTGAGATTGTAAATCAGATCAGGTCCAGCAATCAGAATATAAAAAAAATTAAAACGAGCTTCTACCCCATACAATGTTGCTATTGCAGCCAAAGAAAGGGCAGTACCACTGATGTAAACAAGGAGAATTGCATTGTGACCGGGGTTGCAATTTTCATTTCACCTCACAGCATTGTTAGGATTGTACCATTCATATCTGGCTCTCTAAAAGTCATTGTTTACCGTTCATATCTGGCTCTCTAAAAGTCATTGTTTATCTTATCTATCAGCAACTTTTATTGTTTGGATTAATTCTCAATGCTCTCAATGTGCTGATTTTGGCTTTGGCTGGGCAGCTCTTTTCAGACGAAAACAACGACAACGCAGTGTTTACCTTCCGATGCCAATCTGCTAACAAGAAACAGTTGGCGGCTAGATCTTTCTCGTAAGGTTGATGTCAAAATTGGAGTTGAAATTGCATGAATATCAACTATCAGCAAGTCAGAAAAGACAAATCTATCTATCTATTCATCCATCCACCCATTCATCTATCGACAGTAAATCTACAGTATCTATCTTTGGCTACTTGCACTCCGCAATCAAAATAAATTGGTGCTTCAAATGATAATAGTCAAGTCTGGATTTTGCCTGTGCCTTTCAAAAATAATAGACACAGCGAATGGCGGTTTGCTCCATCAACGAGTTGTATGTTGACAATTCCTTTCAACACAAAGGGCCTTGAACAAATGAGTCTTAGGTGTTGAATGCATGCCCTGGTCACTGCTTGCTACATTACACCACTGTTAAGCCTCTGATATTACTGTATATCAGAACCTCACAAATTCGCAGATTGACGTCAACACTCATCGACTCCCAAGCCGGGAAAAAAAGCAGGGAAAATGCCAGCTTCCGTCTGTATAACCTCAAGTGACCATAAAGTAGAGGGCACTTTTTGGGACTAACATGTCAAACGTGACACTGTACTAAAAGTTCATGTGTGCTAATGCACTCTCTTACTTAGGTCTCAGCAAGTAAATTATAGTAGAAATGGAAAGAATATGCACATTATAGAGAAATGCAGCCTGACTGAGGGCCAACTTAAATAAAGGGAACATTTGTCATGAGTCCAGGTCAACTCAGATAGCTACACTGAGAAAAAGCTTTTGGCAGCCTCTGACAACTGTGAGAAAGTAAGGGAATCAAATCAACGACTAGGACTTAATAATCATTCGCCTGACTTACCGATGCTGCAGCAAAGACGACAATCGCTTGCTCTAAGTTGCATGTGACATTTTTCTTGGCCCACATGGAAATCTCATCTTTTCCAGATACAATTTGGGATGCTTCAAAATATCGTGATATGTATGTGATATGTATGATTTTAAATGCAACGTCACCCATCAACACATCCGCAGCCATTGTTTTGTTTTTTTTGTGCATGTAAGTCAGTTCAGAGTCAGAGAAAGCATTCGCATTACAACAAAGGCAAAGCACTCGATATATTGCAAGCATCGAACCTTGCAATGTGTGTATAATAGCATGAGTGTATGTGGAGTGTGTATTCCATTAACCCGACGCCCGAACTTTGTTTTGTTATTTTAAGGTTAATTTTTAAACTTTAAGGGGTAGGGCAGAGACAAGAAAAATTGCTTTCCTGAGTGACATTGTGTGTTTCATCAGAGTTGAGCAGAATGAGAAAGACTTGCATGGATGGCCCCATGCTGTGCAGCAAGTCCATTACAATGAAGCAGCTCTGTAATAGGAGCCTGCTGGGAAAATTACACGTCTCTGAAGCAGCTAATGTACTGCAGGGTACTATTTACTCCTCTCTAACACGGCATAATGCAGAGGGTGGATACACCTCGACTCCACTCTGTGATTGAACATCTCTGTGTACACAATGAAATCTCCAGGCCAGGGTGAGGCACTGAACAAACGATGTCTGTATCCGCTTGCACTATGAAATGGACACACTACAGTATAGAACCCTGATTGTGCATGACAAAAAAAGTACATTTGGAAGTAGTATGCACACAATTTAGTTTATCTTTCCTGAAGTCATTCTGCCTCCAATCTCATAAGACAAACCGCATTGAGCAACAGACAAGTTTTCGACAAGGTTACAAGCTAAATAATGCTAATGCAACCCGATACTGTGTATGCAAAAACTTTTGGCCAGATGTCTTTACATGAGTCTAAGCAGGAAACTATGTCAATGACGGTTACACATTAGACTAATGTCACCGAAATCCACAACACAGACGGCTGAATCATAGCATCAGTGTTTTAAAGAGTATGATTCATCCTCTGTTTCAACGATTCCCTCATTGACACATCATTAATACGTTATACTTGTCTGGCTCCTTTATCTCAGTGATGCAACACAGCCACAGTAGAAACACAACTGACTTCAATTCTAATTAAAAGTAAGCAAAGACCAGCAGTTGTCCGGTGCGATTGTAATAAGCAGCCGACTCGCTATGCCTACGCCCAGAAAAGGCATTGTTTCCCCTTCGCATAGTCTGCTGGATCGAGGCACTCTAATGCTGTGAATGAGGCGGAAGTAAGGCACAACATTTTAAAAAGCCTCATTTGACAGCCGGGCGTGTGGACCAGAACTTCGGGCTGATGGGGACACTTTAGAGTGCCTCATTGCCGGCTGCAAGTGCACGCACACCACAAAGAGAAAGGCAGAATTGGGAAGAGGGTGTGAAATTTAAGTCTGTGTTATAGAGATAGTATTTGACTGACAATTTGACAGTTGAGCAGGGTGTGATTGCAATGTATGCCTATAGCGTTCGAGAGCGCAGAAAATGACTATTTTTCATTTTATATACAGTATGTGGGGGGGGGGGGCAAATTGCCACTCTGCCGTAACCTCTACGTAACCTGGCAAACAATGAGACCTTTGCTGGTATTTCATTCTTCTGCTCTCGGGAAGACAACAACACATCCTCAGTCTCAGTGAACTGATAATGAACACAGGACGGGTCAGTCATTCAAAAACAACTGGAATAAATGATATGATCACGCGATACAACTTGCGTGTCAAAACATGTCCCAATATTTGGATTTTATTAAGAATTTATCATTCAGGCATTTTTCTCACATTACAGATTGAGACATAGTATCTATGCTATTCCAAGCCAAGCTTTACTCACACCGCCACTCACTTCCAGCATATTAAGTATGCCCATGGGAGCTGACAATGGGAATGGGCAGAAGGCCTGGGGGCATTTGCTTGTGGAAAGGAATTTGGCTTCAACGTGTCCAGCATTTCATGTACACATGATCTCACAAGTAATGACTCAGTGCAATTTACAGTAAAATACTCAACATCCATGTCCTATCACCTTCAACTTTATTTCTGTTTTCATGGGCCAAAGGAAAATCAAGATTATTGATTATGAAATGTTATTCAGCTGTAGATTTGGTTTTCAAATGTAAACTGTTAAAAAAAAAAAAAAAAAAAAAAAAAAAAAGGCAAACGTTCTGTCCAGGAGCCAAAAATGTGTTAACTGTTAATCTCATAAGGTCTCAGAAGGCTTCACAGACCACTTCCAGGCTGACACACTTGCAATGTACATCACACCTCTACACAGGACAGACGCAAGAGCAGGGACAAACCTGACAAGGGTTATTAGCACATTAACGTTCACCTTCCACGTGTGCCTCATCTACACCCTGCAGTCAACTTTGGCCTTGTTCAGTTTTCTACACAATATGCAACGACTGTCAATTTTAAAACAGGTATCATTTACTTTCCATACTTTTCATCCAAAAGTGTTGTAAGTAGGAAATGGAAGCTTTCCCTCCTTCAAGTATGCTTACCTATTATGTCCTCATACGCATTCTCCTCTAAAGTGCTTTTGGAACTGGGTTGACTCTGCCTCTCTGTGGTTAACGTGCCATTCTCTGCGGGTGAAGAGGGGTGTGACGACAGCGGGCTTGTCGTCATAGCATCCGCCGATTCACAGGGTTCTCTAAAGGAGAAGAAATTCAAAAATTAGGCCGACTGGAGCACAGATACCTGCAAATAGAAAAAGTTAATAAAGTCATCTCAGCAGAAGGCATCCAAAGGCTCAATTTTTAATACTGACAAACTCAGCAAATTCCTCAAAAAGCCCGAATCAGCAAATGCTAACAGAAATATGAAAAAAAAAGTTGCCAGACGAAATCCCTAAGTAGTGTATGGGGATGTTTGCTTGTTTTTCTGAGTATTTGTTGCACATTGGTGCGCACATACGCCATGAGCTATGTTTTTGGTGCATTAGTGCTCAGATCTATATTATGGCACTGCTGAAAGCTCGTGCCTTTTAAGTTTGGTCTGAAATTGCTGAAACCACAGGAATGTTAAACACAGTCCAAAGGATGAATGATATTTCACATTAGGGGCACTCTGAAAAAGCCCCACCCTCTCAACATATTGTATTCGATCTTGAGAAGTGAAGTTAAAAATAAAGGAAAGTTGCAAAAGTCCAGTCTTGGATTTCATAGGTATTGGACTTACTGGGTAAGCCGTGCTGCTTGTTTCGATTAAGCTGAAAAATGTCTGCATTTTCAATGCAGTCCAAGTGAGAATAAGTGCAATTTGTAAATAGTAGTGAAATAGCCAAGTAAATATGCAAATTGCAAATGAAACCACCAGTATTAAAGATAAGATCTAAACAGCTGAAAGATACTGGTTGCGTGGCAGAGTATTTGCATAAAATCCCCGTAACCTGAAAATGTCTTCAAAATTTGACACGCCACAGAGAAGAGTGCTTAACAACCTTGTCAAATGTGAATGATTAAAAAAAATCCGAAACAAATAAAAACCCTTCAAAACTGTTTAAAAAAAACTTTTAAAAAAATCTGTTTAAAAAAATCACACGTTTTCTTCCCTCCGCGCTCAGATGTTGTGGGCATCCCAGCTGAAAGCACTGAAACTATGCACCATTCAACTGTCAATCAAATACATTTTGTATAACCTGAAAAAAAAGATGCTCCTTCATCTCACAGCTTTCTTACACCTACGTATAACTACGTGTGAAGTCTCTAATGACTGGAATAGGTGTCGGTATCATTAGCTAGCCAGCTAACTGCACATTGAAATTGCATGAATCACTCGTTTAAGCCATGTCCAAAATGGTGAAAATGCTGTAACTTAAATGCTACATTTGTATTTAGAAACATATCTATGAATGTTGTTTATAGGGTTGTTGAAAAAAACAAAAAAAAACTACATGATTGAGTAGGAAAGGAACTGCTCAAAGATCCTCATCTCACCTGTCTTGTGATGGGCTGGAGTTACTGCCCACCAACTTCCCTGGCCGTGTGGTGCTGGGTGCAGGGGTCGAGGGCAGGGGCGGGGGAGTCTCACAGTCTGGAGGTAGTCCATTCACTGGCAATGTGCCCTTCTGCTCACGTTTGGCCTCGTACTCAAAAGTTCGCTTGGGTTTAGGTAGAGGGTTGATGGGAGATCCACCAGATGTCTGTTTGCTTGCTGGTTCCGGGCTCACAGACCTGACTGAAGTCACACTGAACCTTTGCCTGTTTTTTGCGAACTTATCAGGCACCAAAAGAGAATCTGGTTCCGTGGTTATCGAGCAAATACTACTGCGCTTGCTGGCGCATGTGCTGTCAAAGTCTTCGCCAATCACAAAAGATTTTTGTCTTGTCTTGTCTGAAGCATAGCAATTACTCAGATAACGCGGAGGGGGTGGGCTAGGATTCTCCTTCAGGGCTTGTTCTATCTTTTGTATCCTGTTGAGGACGGCCGAGGTCTCCTTACGAGCAGACAGGGAGCGAACAAATGCCCCAGATGACTCAGTCTTACTTATCCGTTTCTGGAAGCGACCTAAGCCGTCTTTGTCGGAAGCTCCTTCTTCTTCCTCCGTCTCTGTGTAGGAGCATTCTGAGAACGCTGTGCTCATCCTGCGAATCCCCTTAAAGTCAAATGCCTTCTCGCTACAGGGAGAAGAGAGCAAACTTGGGCAGCCCTCACTGCCTCCAATGCGCTCTCGTCCTGGCCTTTTATCCAGACACAAGCTCATCCTAGGCAAAGAGACTCTCCTGCACTCCCATTCTGAGATCTTTTTGCGCACTGTGGTGGGGAGAACACCCGTTACAGGCCTGTTAATAGAAAGTGTGCGCTTGTGACCTTGGGTAGTAAGAGATCCAAGTGAGAGTGTACTCCAACTCAGGGGTCGACCATTAAGTCCCTTTGATGGCGGAGCACCCCCTTGGTTCTCTTTTTGCTCCTGGCCGTCTTGACTTTCGGGATATTCCTTAGCCTGAGGCTTATAGATGGAGAGACGGTTGTCTAGGCAGCTGATGCTCTTAGACTTTGTGAGGGGCGGTCCACTGCCAAAGCTTGTGGTCTTGCTGTTCCAGCCAGCACGCACCAAAAAACGTCCGTCTGTCCTGAGGTACTTGCTCTGTTTCTGATAGTTCTTCCCGTCACCAAGGGGAGGTGGCTCGCTCGGACCCTCGTCACCGGACAGAGCAGGGCAAGGAGATGCAGACTGGCACCTAAAAAGAGATCATGAATAAGCAATTAGGGGATTCAAATATTTATTCACGACAACACTCAGTAGAGCGCCAGCCATTTGCCATTTGCTAGACAAGATAGACTCTTCTTTCCTTCTACTTCAGGAAATAGTTAACAACACAGAAAATGTTTTTGAGACTAGAGTGCTCTTGAGTTTTCATTTCCTTCGAGGGTGAATATCACAAAAAAACTTGTTTGATTGATTGTATGAAAATAATCGTCTCTGGAATGTCTTCCCATCTATCGAGTGACAATATGCAAACAACATCAATGTTTTCTGAGTTGCCGATGTCTGAAAATGTGCCTGTGAGCGAGCTATTATGAATTTTGCCAGAGTGTGAAGCAGTGTGGCGAATTTAATACCGTTGTCCCACACCAAGGTCTGTACCTCTGACTGGCATCTCGGCTGTGCAATGATCCACCACATTCAAGTGACGGATGGAAAGACTGAAACACTATGTGAAGTGGTTGACAACTACCAAACAACTGAGAGAAAAAAGCCATTCCCTGCCATCTTTGCACAAGATGTGTCACAATCCATGGACAGCATACTTGGGGGGGCTGCATTTGAAGGGCAATGATGTCATACTGGCATATGAAAGCTGGCCCATATCAAAGTTTCCCCAAATTCAGCCCACAAATGTGGCTTCTACTTTTTTATTTGTATTTTTGGTAGGTTGCAAAATATCCCCCAAGCTAGACCCTCCTGTTTGAACAAGGGTTGACGCAGCTTTCAGAGGTGCTTTCAGAGGTGCGTAGGCCAGGTCCTCCAAAGGATGTTGCCCATGATTTGGGTCTTGGAAAGTGACCTAGAAAACTCCATCAGTTGTCTTCTTCCGCAACTACATTGAATCACTTCCAACTCAACCCACACGCACGTCCCCAAAAACTTTTAGAAATTAGTTTTGAAGTTTAGTATGTTGATAACAACAGTCCATACAAATGCGAGGAGATAATCAACCACACATGTGAAAGGAGTCAGGCATTTTCAATTCATTTCCAAAATTGTTAGCCAACTTTTTAGAATATTCACCGCAAACTATTGAGTATTCTCGCAGCAGGAGTGTGAAATTCCGGCCAAAATGAATCACCACTGCATTACAATGCCAGCATAGGTCTATCCATTTCTCAATATCTCAGCAAACAGTAAACTATTTCAAGATTAATCAAATGCATTTTGTGTTTTACCTGTAAGTGTCTTCTGAATCCTTTCCTGTCCAATGCGGAGCGATCCTTGCTGTTAAGTGATACTAGATACTTATCCCAATGCTGCCTGAACCTGTCAGTTTCTCACAATGTTTCTTCAGTGAGGCAAACTTTCCCTGTAGACGCCGGTCTTACCTCACACGCCGTGCGACTCATAAATGTTGGGTAAAGTTATCATGACTTGGAAGCTGGGTTTGTATTGCAAAAGTGAAGCATTACGAGATCTGATGTCACAGCTTTAGTTCGAATAACAAGCAACGTGGGAGGAGGAAGCTATTAGTCGTGGCAATGCGATCCAACAATGCAGGTTGGGACAAATCTCTCCTCACACCTGTCTGCCCTTCCCTGGTTTCGATCTTCATGCTGCGGGGTGGAAGACTTTCAGAACGTATTGTAACCTGCTTGCTGCTAGCATGAAGTCAATTTAATGTATATATGTTGAAACAATGAATTTCTAAAAATGTCTTGTCAGACCAAATCAAATGTAATCTATAAATTGGCTTCTGCTTGATGTTATATTCTCATGAGAATGCAAATTCCGTAAAACAATTTTGTTTGATGAAGATTGCTATCAGATCCAAAAGAAGACATGTTGCATTCGCGTCAAAGGGAGGGTAAAAGAAGGTATTCTGAAGTAAATCGGTCCTTGGAATCGTTCCAAACTAAATGAGCAAATCACATGGGTACCATGGGAAGCAACGGAGAACTTGAAGCTAAATATTAATGGGGGATGTTTAAGATGAAACCAGACACAAAGACTCACTGACTTTTCAAACGTTGATTATTAACTTATTCACCACCAAAGTTTAGCCTCTGGGATTTTTAGTTTCGGGGGCCAGGGGGGTTGCATCCACAACTCAATCTATTGCAGTTTCATTCCAACTATTTTGCAGGTTTTCTTGCTATTTTTCTTCCCGTCATCCCCGTCTGGTTCTTGCTTGACAATCGCTCCATGTTGTTTGTGGTTAAAAAAAATTAAAGAGTAATATATGTGGTTCAAAATAAAAAAATAATACAGTAGTATATGCGGAGTTCAGGTGTTTGCAGTTCCTTAAAATATTGAAAACCAAGAGTTTTACTCTTGCAGGCGATGGGTTATAACGGATGAGGGCGGTTAGTTTTGTGTTGATGGGTTAGTTGCCTGGTGTGCGGTTGAGTCAACAACTGCATTGTTTTTTTTTTTTTTTTGTGGGGTTTTTTTTCCCAAAACTGTCCAATTCAATTGTTCGGTGTGCAGCAGGCCTATGTGGACTCCAATTGAATTGGATGTCGTCCTAAGTCCTAACACATTTGTGTTCAGCCTGAAAGTGTTACTAGTCATATAGAGAGAACAGGTTAAAATGTTTTGCAGTTAATACAATATTGCCTTGCGCATCAGGACAAGACTCAAATCCACAGCTCCAGCACGATACACAAGTGGACTACGAAAGAATTAAAGCCTCAATCAAGCATGAGCATCAACTACAGTCTCGTCTTGGTTAATAACCACAACATAGAACACTGCTTTCACTATAAGCTCCAGTCGGACCACATTTTTTTGCAAACCAAAAATCAGCCAGGACTCAAGCTGGTATGATTGTTGACATATTACATTTCACAGCCACCGCTGTAACTTTATCTTTCAGTTTGAATGAGTTTCAGAGTGTAGAGAAAACAGATGACGGACAAGTTAAGCAAGATATCCTGTATCATTCCTTAAGCTTGTTTCTCTCATCAGCTCACAACATGCTGCAGCTTGCTACTGTTAATAGTTGGATGGGGCCCTCGTCCAGGATCCAGAGACATACAGTGCTTGCAAAAGATTTTTATTTTTTATTTTTTTTAAACATGGTTAATAGGGATGTCCCGACACCGATCAGATGATCAGAAATCGGGCCCAATCACGTCATTTTCAGCATGGGAATCAGGGGTACAAAATCATGTTTTAAATGTGTTATTTTTAAATTTGTATTATTTTTATGGGTTACAAAGCAACAAAATAACACAGAAGAGTACATAGGTGGTGGACTGGTTAACATGTCCGCCTCACAGTGCAGAGGTCGTGGGTTAGAATCCAGCCCCAACCTTCCTGTGTGGAGTTTGCATGTTCTCCTCTTGCTTGTGAGGGTTTACTTCGGCTACTCCGGTTTCCTTCCACGTTTCAAAAACATGAAGTCAATTTGGATGCGCTCTTTTTTTCTAAATAATATATTACTGAGATATTGGATCAGGACTCGTTATCAGCAGATCCTCAAAATCGGGTGACTCGGACTTGGACTCGGGTGCAAAAAAGTGTGATTGTGACATCCCTCATGATTGACAGTTGTTGCCCCTTGTTTCCCAGGAGTAAAAACAAATATTCATTGAATCCCAAGAAGTAGTTATTTGGAAATTAGGAGACATGACTGTAAGAGCATGTTGAAGAATCCTGGGGGGTCACTAACCTGTCGGGGGGGTCCTGTGGAGCTTTACCCCCTCCTGCATGAGGCACAGCCTTTGGAGTCTTGTTGGCAGTCATGCTTGCCTGCAAACCGCCCACTCACCTAGTGGACAAACACATGCATGTTCATCGACTCGTGGACAAAATTGTAAATCATAGAACAACATAGAACAACCAAAATAAATTGCCTTTTTTTTTTCAACTAGCTATACAAAGTGTTTTAAAAATGTCAAATAACAAAAATGACAATTTGACACATTGTGTCAGCTGAGTTGAATTCAAGACATTATTATGCCAGATACTATTTGCCAAGACAAATGATAACGGAGCATACAATGTGGCTAAATCCCAGCAGATCACAGGTACATGTTGTGTGCTGCGCGTGAATGCACTTCGCAGTGATGGGGAAAAAAAGCAGTTTCACCGCCCGCATGTTCGCCCTCAGACAAGAGGCCATTACTCATGAAAATCACATTTCCCAAAGTAGTATTAAGTGACCCTGTGCAGAAGGCTCATAGCAATTGCTCTCCAGCACAATGAGGTCAGATGGAGCTCCTTCAAGATCAGAGATGAAAAATGGGTGGGCACTGAGTCGCATGTCATGTTTACAGGAAGTTGTTGTATGAAGAAGCCAGCCAACCAGAAGTGTGGCTGAGACCTATAGAGACAGATGAGAAGAGAGAGGGAGCATTCCTGCTGTCAGCTATTTCCTGTGACTGTGGACCATGCTGCGGGGACGGCGCATGCATCATGATTAGCTTCATGAGACAGACTATGGGTTTAATGCATGACAATAAAAGGGCAAAAAGAAAACTTGGCACAAACAAGTGTGATGTTCAACAATAAAATGTATATTTAATGAATATTGTGTGCACAAGGCACAGATGACCTGCCATCTTTTTAAATCCCTGTTCATCTCCTGTATCTTGGATTGATTTTCTACTCCATTTCACAAATATATTAAGATGACAAATTGCAAAGAATTCCAAGGAGTGTCATACTGACGTTTTTAATTATAGCAGCTCTCACTGTCCCATACCTGGCTTTTGGTATTTAAAGTCATACCACTGCTTGAATGACTTGACCTTTACATTTATTTATTTATTTACTTATTTTTAAAAGCTACAATCAGTGAGTCGCAGGGGCCCAGGATGGACTTTTCAGTGTAAACAACAAGGCGTTAGCCAACTGACTTCCTGAGCTCTGATAGTATCTCCCCTCGCAAAATCCCAACGAGTAATGAGCCAACCTCTGGAATACTATTCCACCGCCTTGCCGCAGAGCTACCATGTTATTTGAATAATAACTGAATAATGCATCTTCTCATACGAGCAAATAACCTAATTACAAATGTTTCATCAGAAATTGGAACATCTCAACATTTACGCTTTACTTATAATAATACAAATGCAACGGCACCTTGACTTACAAGCTTAATTCATGCTGTGACAACACTAGCAAAGCTAAATTGAGTTTAAAAAGAGAAAGTCGTTTTGAGACGTATTATTGTGTAGATCTCAAAACAATACTCGGTACTCGATAGTGCAAAATAGTGAGAATAAAGCAAATAACTTTGTTAATATTGTAAATTTAATAAACTTTGAACTTTGAGCTCCTCATCATGGCTGACGTCAGCCATAAGCGTATTCTGGTTTTCTAATGTAGCTGTCATCTTATTTTATTTATAGATACTTTAATTTGTTTATTAATTGTAATACTAAGTTTCTGTTCACAGCTACTTGCTCTACGCCCAACTTCTGTGAAAAGTGTGCTGTACCTCTAAGCACTTAATTGGGTCTTTCCTGACTGCATTTCATATTAACGATTCACGTTAACTTCTCCATCTTCTCATGTTCTCTCTCCTTGCGTGGTGTGTGGCATGCTTGACGACTCCTCGTCCGCCTTGAGTGAAGGTGCTACTTGTCAGAAGGGTAGCTTACGTGTCACCACGGAGCTCAAGATTAGTTAGGGAGAGGAGAGAGCTGCACATTGTGGCGCAAGCTAGCTTAGCTTGCGCCGCAATTAGCTGGACGTCGTTTGTCAAGAAACGACCTCCAGGAGTATGGGTGACAGAGTTTAATCAGCTCAGAGCTGGTGAAAGTAACCTGTTCACAGTCCCATGATTAGTGAGCTTGGGGAATAAGGGCCTTAAAAAAAAAAAACGGAAAAAGAAATACAGCTTTGACAATCACAAAACCGCATTGTCTGAGATCACGATTTTGATCCCAAAACGATTATTTAGCCCTAGTAAACAATGCAACAGAATTTGGTTAATTGGAAATTCAAATGTTTTCCAATGAGGCAGCATCACATAGTGGCATTACAGTGCCATCTCAATGGAAGCCTTATGTCATCAATATATGCAGATCAATGACATCTACAGTACCCATAAGGTTTTCCTCAAAACTACACACCAAACAGCAATAAAAATTCTCAGCACAAAATTGCATGCATGTGGGAAAGCCAAGATAAATGTTTCAGTTTTTAGGAAGACAAACAAAATTCTAATTTGCAAAGGGTGACTCAAAAAAATGCCCCAGTCATCATCACAATGACCTAGCTAAACCATTTCAGGTTTTTTTTTTCCTCAGGTCTTTCCATGCTCATGTCTACAAGTGCTGGAGAGGCTAATGAGTTTTCCCTTATACTGGAAAGAGGAGAACAAAGATGCCTCTATGAAACAAACAGAAAATTGCATAGAGGAGTCCTTTGTGTTCAAAGTGTATGTCTTTGAAAGGGAAGCAGGGTAAGAAAAAAAATGTATTATCAGCTTATCTTATGCACGCATATAAGTGTGTATAAGAGAGACTTAATTAAGTTGAATGTCTTTCAAAAAAGGGCCAATGCGTCCTTGACCCTGTCACGTTTGACAGATCATCTGATATCCAGTTCACCGCCCAACATGCAAGAATGTACTAATATTTGCCCAATCCATCAGGCCGCCTCAGCTACACCGAAGTATATCAAAGGCTGTTTTCATAGAATGGAAGAAACAACAGAGAGGGATGAAAACAAATCATCAACTGCATAAACAAACTCCATGAAAGGGCACTACGACTTTTCAACGATTTAATAACGATATGATATGTCAACGTTTCATTTATCATGCTATCTATTTTCATCCTGTAAGACAAACAGAATGATACCGTGGCCTCTCCAAAGACTTAAGTCCCCTCATTTGTCTCCAGCTACTCAACTATTTAGGCCAAGCTGGTCCTCAGTTTCTGCTGATCAGCAACCTGCTTTTTAAAAACCACAACCAAGCCCTGCAAGAGAAGCCAAGACTCAATGGGGAAACAAAGGATTAAAACGCTCAGCTATTTCAGCCCTCGAACTGATCCAAACGGTTGTTTAAGTATTTTGGAGATAAACAAGAATTGTCCAGCATGGACAGTGATGCTTTTTTATGTTTTGACTGTAAATGCTGCGTTGGTCCCATGCAGTGGAAGCGGGGCATTAGTCGAACACCCATCCAGTGACATGGTAAAGCATTTACAGTCCACGTCAACTCTGCATGACAAACTTATGACAGAAGGTTTATTCTGTTCATAGACCGACCATATAAAGCTCTGACAGCTTCCATAATGTCTACATGTCAAAGAGAAAACAACCGCGGTTGACGTTTCTAACGGTTGCGTAGAATCGTGCCTATATAATTACCCACGTCAAACATATGCTTTGCCTTTTTATCTCCATTTTAGCTTTAACAGTGCAGTCACGATGTATTTTGGGAATCACGGCATAGGGGGGGAAAAAAACCTTCTGAGTAACCCAGATATGAGCATGCACAGCTGCAGAGGCAGGCATGTGGAAAACAGGCTTTTATCCATCTGTGCTGCAGGGGGGGGTCAAAGACTATGTGTCATCTGACCTCAGAAACACAGTCTTTTGGCTTTTTCAAGGACATTAAGTGGATAAGATGAATTTTTGTTACTGTCTGGAAGTCTGAGTTCAGATGGTCTACTGAAAAGACTGACGGAAATTTTGTGGCTGACATTTCTGCCTTAGCAAACTGCCAGAGAAGTACGGAAAACACAACTGCAACTGTAGATGATCTTCAGTCAACAAGATTTATTGTTGATGCCCTGCTGTGTTTATGATTATGATGAGTTAAATCAATTAAGTTTTGTGGGAGCTGTTACTGAACTGAAATACCAAATTGATCGCCTCACAGCATAATTGCCAAAGTCATTTTGAACTTACTGTCACAATATCAATAAAAAAATAAAAAAAAAAATTGTTTCCATCTATTCACAGCCATCCAGGACATGGTAATCTGCAAAGGTTTACTCGAGGCAAGTGGACTCTTCTTGCTTGTAGAATTTGTTGTGTGTGTTTTTTTTTTAAATGTTCAACAATGTCTTTAGCAACTACGCCATTAGGCTAACAAAATAAAGAAATAAACTGAGGACGACAACACATCAGAGCATAGCATAGCAATCTGTAAATGCCATGCAAATAAATATGCAGCCGACAGTCTGTGAGGAATGACATCAAAGCAATCTGATTGGAGTATGGGTAAACACTTGGAGGCGATGCCATGACTTATCTGCTGCATCAAGGCTTTTCTCTCCTTTGGAGCCTTGGATCTTGGCCTTGAATATTTCAGAAGCGTTTGTGAGTAGAATAGCGTACTCAAAACAAATAAGCTTCATACAATCGGTTCAATCTAGAGTTCAAAAGTGTTGAGTGATGGTTCTGCTTTCCTCATTCACTGACACTGACAGCTACAGTATGGTTGCCCTATTTTCATGAACTGGTGCACGTGCGCACACGTAAAAATTGGCTGTCACGTACAGGCGGAAGATGGGGGGGGGGGGCTTGCAGCGGTCAACTTTACATCGTCTGCAAGTGGAGATCTTCATTATAAATGTACTTTGCACACTCTGATCTCCAGTGAGTGCATTATGCTTCCGCTATGCAGACCACGCGCCTCTCCTGCGGTGAATTTAAAGAGAATGAGGGGAGCCGCTTTGATTGGCCAGGAATCAGGCCAGCTGTGTTCACTCCCACAGTGGCACCAACACCCAGGTCGACAAAAATACCAAAAGAAAGAAGACTCCACCCATGCACACAATTAGACAAGCCTTTGCACTAGACTTGGGCTGGGCATGAAAAGTGGGTCCTATAATGTTAACTGGGAGGGTTGGTGGTGAATGCGCCACAAAAAGAAGATAGTGTAATAGTGTTACTGTGACTTCTTAAATTCACACAGCGTTCAACCAAAATGTTGATGAAAAATACCTCACTTCAGGTAACCGGTCAGCAGTGAGCCGCTGCAGCCTTGCGCTGACCCGGTACTGTGGGCATCAGGACCTTCGCTTAAACTATTATGGAAAATCCACCATGCGGAAAAAAACAAAAATGCCTCTATTCCTTGGTAGCCAACAAGTGGGTATAAGAATTAGCAAACAGAAGCAGAGCAAAATGAACTGCTGAGAGGATTTAGAAGCAAAACAGAATTTGTGACATTTCTGGTAAAGGTACGCTGATCACCACTTTTTTGATTTTTAATTGATTGCACTTTCCCAAAAAATAAAACTTCAAATCGATAACTTTTAGTGTTATGGGAATACTCTGTCACGCTTCCACCATAGGAGCTGTGGCTAATAACCTTGATGCAGTGACACATGGGAGAATATTTTGTGTCCAGGATGCAATTGTAAAGGTGGTTCTTCTGCATGAAAGCAGGCATTGCTCAAGAAGCAAAGCTTTACTGCAAAGCTCACATTTCACCAGTCATTATGGGTTCTAACCTCACCAGTGGTCAAGACCTTTGGGAAGTGACTGAAAGAATGAGATTGTGGGTCCAAGCAGCTGACAGGAGTTTCCTCTGTGAGGTGGGTGGGCTTGCGTTGAGACATCTGGAGGGAGGCTTGGATTCAAGCTCCTTCAGTTTCCATCCAGAGGATTACCGAGGTGGTTTGGGCACCTGATTGGGATGCCTTCTTACACGGTGCTAATGCAAGAACATTAACAAAGTTCCTGCTTGGTTAGAGCGGCAAAGCGTAGCGTTCCAGGAATTGAAACCGATATCAAAACATTTCACCACGTTGTTCCTTGACGCGCATAACACTCCCAATCTTTACTTTTGGGCTACAGTGACATTATACCCATGTTTCAAACTAGCCGATTTGCACAAACTCCACACGGAATGTGGAACTGGCAATCATTTGCCGTCCCTGTGAACATGAACAGTAAGAAGATGCCAAAAGCCGTAGCCATCCTTTCAAAAATTCCCCTCAAAAGCCAACACTGTCAACCAATGCCTGTGAGAAATCCACAAGATTTCTGCTCTTGGGACCAGCATTTTCAGAACACAATGTCATATTTAGCTGCCCTTGTTGATAACATGTTTAGGTTTGGATCAACTAAAAAAACACAAGTTTTCTTAGCGTATATCTCAAATGTGTTATGTTTGAACGGCTCCTTTCCGGGGATTTATTTAACACCCAAAACAAAACAAGACATTTCTTCGGAAGATTATATTGTTCATGCCACTCAAATGACCACAGAACCAGATGTGAATCTGACAAATACACTTACTCAAAGACACAACGATAAAATCTGACCTTCCCTATCAGAGTTTCCTTTTCCATCAACAAGCAACAGAACGTGTCTGTACTTTTAGAGTCACCACCTACAACTTGTATTCTCACAAAGCTGAATGCTTCTGACGTTGTCCAATTTGGAATTCATCAAATTTTATTTGCAAGAATATGCCTCTAAAGCCACATAAAAACCTGAGAGTGAATTTTATATTTTCTTTGAAATGTCCTTGTTTCAATTTCCACGGCTCCTAAATCACAACCAATAGCAGGTTGACCACCGTGAGAGGTTCCGCTGTAGCTTGGAGTTCTCCACAGAATAACAACTTCTACTGATCAGCAACAATTTCAAACATGTATTAGTTACGAGGTCTAATCTCTAAAGTGGGACAATAGATCTGCACTATAAAAGTTCTTCCACAATCTTTGCAAAAGCCTTACATGCTACTTGTGAATTTTGAGTTCAAAAGATGGATTGCATGATTTACAGGTACTCTATACTAAGCTCGGGCACGCAAGCATCAGCCTTGGGAAGAGATCTTTTATTGTGATTCTCAATGAACAAGAGTCCCTTTGAGGGAAAATGGGGAAAGGCCAAATTCTCTCTTGAATTACTGAAAAGGGACCAGCAAAGAATCTGCTCAATAGATTTTGTTGTTTGTCCTTTCGAGGGACGCGGGACAGGGTCTAAAATGCTCTATAAAGAAAATTAATTCTCTCCCGACAAGCCATCACTACACTGAACTCACAATAGTACCAATACTATTCTATGTAGCTGCTACTTTATTTTAAATGTAAAAGATTCCATAATACTACATCACTGTTATTGTTGGTACATATAACACTGTCATTTGGACTGAGTAACTTAGTCTGTTTTAGTAAACAGTCCTTTTTAGATTTGTAGCTTGATTCTTTTCCCTTTCTATTTTGTAATTTTGAAACACAAGCTTGGTGTTGCACTCTAATTCTGTTGTATCCGCACCATACAATGACTATTAAGGCTTTCTATTTCAAATGAAATGTCGAAAGCACATTTCAACCTACAAGGATTGCAAAGACATGAAACATATGCATTCGTGTAAACACATGTCATTTCCTCAACATAATAATGCAAGTGAAAAGAAAAGACCAACATTCCTAAAAGGAATCAATTGTATGTCGCATTGTAGCTGGCACAGGGTTTAACATCTCAGAAACTAGCAAGAGCTAAAAAAGTAAAAAGTAAATCTCTGTCAGATTTATTGATAAACTCACTGTACTTCAATAATTATTTATTCATTCATTCATTCATTTTCCGAACTGCTTTATCCTCACTAGGGTTGCGGGGGATGCTGGAGCCTATCTCAGCTGTCTTCAGGCAGTAGGCGGGGGACACCCTGAATCGGTTGCCAGCCAATCGCAGGGCACACAGAGACGAACAACCATCCACGCCCACACTCATACCTAGGGACAATTTAGAGTGTTCAATCAGCTTGCCATGCGTGTTTTTGGAATGTGGGAGGAAACCGGAGTACCCGGAGAAAACCCACGCAGGACCAGGGAGACTATGCAAACTTCACATAGGGAGGCCGGAGCTGGAATTGAACCCGATACCTCTGCACTGTGAAGCCGACGTGCTAACCACCAGACTACCGGGCCGCCCATAATTATTTATTATATTTAAATACATTGTACATAAAACTTAAAATATATATTTTTTAAACAAACATTTCTTCAGGACTGAATGTATTATTATTATATTTAAATACATTGTACATAAAACTTAAATAAAATATATTTTTTTAAACAAACATTTATTCAGGACTGAATGTATTGTACTTAAAAGTGAAATTCAACTAATAAAGTAATTAAAAATGCACTGTTCTGGATTTTAAAAAAGTTTAAACAGGCCGTATGCAAAGGTTTATGTGTTATGCTATTCTGGGTGATAGTTATATTTGTATTTGTAATTAAGTGATTCTTTCACACACCATCAGAGGGAGCCCGTGTACCAATAGTGGTACTCGTGCTACACTGAGAATCACTGTGACTGTGCATAGAACATTTAAACTACACAAAAAAATGGTATGTAATATCACAATACAGTAAGATATCAAACATGCTTAACATTAACAAAGAGAATTGCTTGTAACCATATACTGCATCACAGAGGATGGGCTGCATTTAAAAGAAAAGCAGTTTCTACTATCACAAATAACTGTGCTCACTTGAGACAAAACAGTGTGTGTCACTCCATGTAGGTATGGGGAAAAACAAACATTTCCATTTCCCAGGATCTAAAATTCCCCAAAAAGTGACACACTGTCGCCTTCAGTCAGAACAAACTTTTGAGAACTGAACTTTGATTTTTGGGAACTTAATGCATGTACGTATGGATGGATGGATGAAGATGTTTATTCATCTTATTTTGAGGACTGACCTTTTCTCTATGACTTTTTAAAACATATTATAGAACTGCTTCGACTTTTCATTGCCTTAATGATCACTCATTCCACTTCCAATGAATACAGACATCAACACAGCAGAGATGCGATGTTGAGCCACTTGGCTCCACTTGATCGTTAAACATCACTATGACCAAATATGGTCACGTGGAAACCACTATTTTTTTGAAACGCACCTTGAAACTTTTCCACAACACCTCAATTAAAATGTTGCTTCATTTTTTTGCAGCTAAAACGTGTTTTTAGCTAACGTGCAGCCTCGCGGGTCGTTGTGAACTTCGGCTTTTGAGTGTGTGCTGTGTTTTGTTTTTGTTTGTTTGATAGTCGTTGTTTTACCTCCGAGTGGTTCCTCGAGCGCACGGCGGCTGACATTTTGAGATGTTAGTCCATTCAAGTTCGTCGGATACCTGTCTTTCGCAATAATGTCCCACTCATGTCTTTGCAAGTAAAACTGACCCAAAAAAAAGTGTGTGTGTGTGTGAGAGAGAGAGAGAGAGAGAGAGCGAGAGAGAGAGAGAGAGAGAGAGCGAGAGAGAGAGAGAGAGAGAGAGCGAGAGAGAGAGAGAGAGAGAGAGCGAGAGAGAGAGAGAGAGAGAGAGAGAGAGGAATGAAGCTCTCCAGCCGCCTTTTTGGAAGGCTGGACATGTTGTCATGGAAACGGGTTGTTTGCCCCCACTTTTGTCGTGATTTGGCCCCGGCTTCTTGCTCCTCCTCCTGCAGGCATTCATACTCGCTCTCTCGTCTTGTTTATTGTCCCGCTGGATGGATGGCAGATTTCGGATGAATATTCACGAGTGAACGGCTGCACGCACGAACGTTTGCCAGCAGGCAGCAAAAAAAAAAAAAAAAAAATGTCACGAGGACTTCCCCATGTCCACTTACAAATGCAGTCTTTCATGAACACTTGAAGGCGTCTGAATTCATTTGTGGCCTCCAAGTCATTAACGGAGACACTTAAAAAATGTGTGTGTCATAACTAATTGACATGTTCAGTCGGGTGCGTCTTAACCTTCATGGCAGAGGCTCCGTCGAACCCCTGAGAGCGATTCACCAAACCTCTGGGGTTCGATCGAACCCAGGTTAAGAACCACTGGTGTAGACCCTCAAAAACAGTGGCATTTTTCTTTGCAAACGGCCCGACGCCACGGTAATAGCGTGGACGAAATATAAAGCTTTCAATAACTTTTCAACTTAAATTTTAGCATATGGATCCAAAAGACAGACTTTTTGGGATGTCCTGGATCGTGACACAGCTCACGAGTTTCACAGATCTCGTGAAATGTACAACAAAGATTGCTTGTTAAAAATTTGTTGGGGCGCTTCAGAGACATTTTTTTTGAAAATTGTCCACGAAATTTCTAAAATACTGTATTTTATGCTAGGCCTCATGTGTTTACAAAGTTCAATGAGTTTTCACCCAGGTGTAGACCGCCAAAAACAGCATATTTATTTTCTTTATGGAAAGCAAATAAAATGCAGTTTAAATATTTTTTCTTCTTGATGAGGAGGCTGCTGGTGTCTGACACATCCACATACACAGTAGTTTACTAAAAGGTTTAATCATAGGCCAGGAGTGGCACTAGTAGTGGTGAAACGTGACTCGTAAGATACAGTCGCTCTAGTAGCGTGCCATTGTCATTCTATTAGCGTGTTGAATTGTCTTACTAGTAAGGACAAAGAGCATACAAGTACATGGACATTAAACTGAGTATCAAGGATCTTCAATAAATTCTCGAATTGATTTTTGAGTGGATGTAAATGCTGCTACGCTCCTGAGACAACACTGGGGGATTCTGAGTCTTTTTCAAAAGGATGCAGATGGCCCCTCCCCACACAACTAGTTGCATTTTATTTGCCCGCAGTGGGACCGAAATTGTCATGTCCTGTAAAGATCAAGTGTGACGATGAAGTACATGACAGCACTACAAAGCGTTCACTACACAATATGAATACATTAGATTGTCTTGGCGTCATTCCGATTTGCATGGTCTGTCGCGGTGCCTCTCATCCATAAAAGTAGCTCCACTCACCCTCTCGGGGAGTTTTTATCATCTGACAGGGTTGGACGGGAACAGAGGAAGTCAGAAAATGCAGACATCCGTCATGGCAGTGTGTAAGATCAAGTCAGCAGGAAGCCTCGCAACTTCGTCTTGTAACGATTGTCCTTCCTGAACCCTTGGAATGTCCGCACACAAAAGATGCTGTGGGAAGCAGTTTGAGCATTCGTGCCTTATCCTACGTAGCCAGCCTAAGGTTCATACTACCAGTATGCTTTTTGTCCTTCTTCTAAGTAACAGTTTGTCCAACCCTAGTGCCGTGATTCACCACTTGTACACAAAATAAACATGACTAGTAATCTACTGTCCTGCAATGGTAGCACTAATAGTTGTTTGTTTGTTTTCCCACTGGAGTGCAGAAATATCATACAGAAGTGTAAAGAAAAACTGCATGCTACTTGTACTTCTACTGACATAAAAGTCTCCTAGTTAACATTCAGTGCTTTACTTGGAGTACAAGTACAGCGCAGATGTCAACGACAACAGCGCTTTGTTTCACTAATACAGTATCTTGTAGGTGTGCTTCTTGTTTGCCACGGTTGTTCTACTGGTGTGCTGAAATGTCATAGCAAAGTGGAAGTGGAAAATGTTACTTGTAAGACAGTTATTTTACCCGTACACTAAGGATAAATGGTGTACGGGTACATGGACCTTACGATGGCTGTTTAGGATATCACACAAATGTTCAAACGGCATTAGATTTGTGTACTAGTATCTACTATGTCCTCGCTAGTAGGACAACTGGGCATACTAGTTGTACAAGTACATGTTACTAGTGAGCCAAAACTGTGCACAAGTATGGATATACCTGTAAATGCATTAAAGAAATTGTACTAGTTGACATCAGGGCATCACTAGCAGCAGTACTAGTGCCCACATATCAAATATTGCCCATTTTTGCCTCACTAATAACATATAGTTTTTCTACTAGTATGCCAGAGTTGTCTTACTAGTGTTCAGAAACACCATTCAATATAGAAGGCAGTAAAAAAATGGTATTAGTAAGACTGTTGTTCCACTAGTGCACTAATTGATTTATTCGTGAGGACAAAGAGCTAGTTTATATCTAGCACTTCAGTGGTAATACTGTACTAGTAAAGCGCAGATGTCAGTTAGAGCAGAGTTTTGCCTCACTAGTAAAAACATGTACGCATAGTTGTCCTTCTAGTTGTTCAACTATTCATGTAAAAACGTCATACAATAGTTAAAAAAACTATTAGTAAGACAGTCCCTTTATGTGAATTGTCTTTACTAGTGAGGACACAACATCTACCAGTACATAATAATAATAATGCTAACTGCTGCTAGCCACATGTTCACCGTAGGCCTCATTTGAATTGAAACGTTCTGTGAATCACGTCTGGGTTCCTTCGCACAACGTCCCTCTGGAGCATATTACAGGAGCATCCTCCAATCAAATCCGTGCAAAATTCTTCACGTCAACCAACACATGAAGCTGTGCAGATTTAAAGACTTAACATCCTTGATTTCCGAAGTGAGCTGAGTTAACAGTCAATGCTTGGACACCTGCTTAAGCCGCCATCACATTTATTATGTCAAATAAAACCGCTGAGCTCTACACATGTTTGTTTAGGATTTAGCACCGCGCCAAAATCCTCAAACATCTAAAGGGGATTATTCCACACAGCTCCGGGGCTTTTGCCACCTACTCAACAAAAATTCATCTCGGATTCTCTCGAAAAGGTGGAAATATTGAACGCTTTGGTGTAACTGACTTTCGTAGACATCATATATGCAGCATGTGCCTCTTTGCTTCCAAAGAAAAGTGCATATTCATGGTCGGACCACTGATCATAAACCACACTCACTGTCAATTTTGCAATGGTAATGCAGAATTCGATTTATAAGAATAATAATACATGTTTGGCCTCAAATGTGTCCCACTCCCATTCAAAGTAGCTCATGAAAGCATTCATTTGCATCAATATCACTTATCAATAGTCAGCAAAATTGTACTGACCTCATCTTTTAACATTAGAGAGATGTAATGGATCAAACAAAGAAATGCTTGGAACATTTGGGCCTTCATGGAGACAAACGAAGAAATCAAAATATTCGCAACACCTCCCAGCTGGGGCACTTCTAGGCCGTCTCTAGAGTCAAGCACCCAAAATGAATGCGCCTGGGAATTTAAAATGACATTTTAAAATACTACTCGTTATCATCTGATGATTCACGAGTAGCGCAAAGTAGTGCACATGTGATTTTCCCCAATATTAACATGTAGTTGTCCCACTGCTATGCCAAAGCGGTGTTGTTTGTGTCATTGTTTGGTCCGTTGTGTTTTATAATGTACATTTTAGCTTCAAAGTGCTTTTTTGTAAATCTGTTGTTTTGTTGTGTAAACATGTCATTTTATTTTAGGTGTACTTTGAGTAAACGTGTTGTTAATGTTTTTTTGTTTGTTTGTTTTTTAAGTTAAGAAGACATCATCTGTCTAGGGACTACAGAAGAAAATTTGCCTTCTGGCTAATTCTGGCATGTTTACATTTGTGTAGAATAAAATGTATTGTCTCTGATGGAAAGAAAGAAAGAAAGAAAAACCAAAAAAAGAAAGAAAGAAACAAGTAGGCCATATCTGGCATACCAGTAGGACAACTACATGGTACTCGACAGGCAAAACTGCACTAGTTGACAACTGCGAACTATTGCTGACAACAAATTCTACAACAGTAATTAAGATTTCGTGACTTGCTGGTAGGACTAGTAGTGTGCTGATGTCAGCTAGTGCATAGTTTTGCACGGATAGTAACATGTAGCTCATACTAGTGTGCAAAAATGGCATACAGTCGTGAAAAAACACTTCTAGTAGTAGTGACTAGTACAAAGGGCCTATTTAGTACACAGACCTTAAAATGGATATCAAGTATCAGCAGCTTCCCATACAAGTCATTTCCTAAAGATCACATTATAAGCCGGAAAACGCTTCCATTTATGACGATTGCGTTCAAGTGTCCACGAACTGAATCTGCCCTGTCATCAAATGAAATGCAACTTGTTGAGACAGACAACAGGGAATGTAACGCTTTCAAAGAAAAAAGAAAAAAAAAAAAAAGCATTCATCTATTTAAGCACGGGTGGTTTGCATTGAGACATTTCATAGACTGAAGCGCCGCCTGTAGGTCAATATTTGTAAATGCAGCCCTCGACTGGAAGTTTTTCCGATGCGTTAAATGTGACATTTCGTGATGTGAAGACAAATACAATGTAGGCGTGTACAGTATTATGAACTGTAACTTGTGTCGTTTCAATCATGAACAATATGGAACAAATGAAGGCATCCCGAATTTTCTTTTGACGAACACGCAATGCCGGATGGCTAACAAAGTTGGTGAAAAGTGTCAACTTTTCGGGTTGATGTTGACATTTACAGCATCAAGGGAAGAAATGATCAAGCCCTACCTGCTTGTTTGCGTGGTTGACGTGTTTACTCAGTGATCCATTCTCAAGTACACTGTCGCTCTTCTTCGCGTGTGCAGCCCCAACACTTTTTTTTCCCTCCTGTGGAAAAAAATCGTCTCCTCCGTGGAACTGCAGAGAAGACGTGAAAGAAAAAAAGTGAAATGGACAGGAAACGATGACGCAACGTTGTGTGGATCATTTCTCTGGATGAAAAGATGCGAATGGTGATTACTGATTACATATTTGCCCAAGGATCCGCTAATTAGATGTCCGGCTCGAGTCCAGCGGGATGAAACGAGCTTTTGATTTGAGTTTGGTGAGCTTTTTCCAATAGTTGATTTTTTTTTTCAATATAACAAGCAGCCCAGGGATGATGAAGCGTATCGCGCAAATTCGACAAACACCGCGCTGCTAATTTAGGTGTTGCATTGTTGACTTAACTTTAAACATCAATTCCTGTAACCTTCTTATAACTAGACGACATTCAGATTATATTTTGGCGCATATGCATAAGTCAATATATGCACATGTGGCCAGGGAACTGAAAGAAATTCAAAAGTGGTTTCCTGGAAGTTGAAGCCAAATGTGTTGTGGCAACCCGTGCTGAGTGAACAGTGTCATTATTCATCAAATTTAGCCTGAGTGCTGAGCGTTGCGATCATTTGAATGTGAACAATACTTTTGGCGATGGTGATGACAAATCATTGCATGGAAACACATGAAACTATTATGAACAAACTTCATCAATACTTTTCAATAGTTCAGTAGTTTTTATGACACATTTTTAATACATTTATCAAGATAAACTATTGTAACCCAAACAAACAACAAATTAACCTCATGTTGTAATTTATATCATGTTGTAATTTATTTTAAAATAAATTACAACATTACTGATAAAATTTTTATCAGTGCTAAGGGCTCTCTTGCATGAAAATTGCCATTCAAGGATTGCACAATGCTGCTGAACAAGAAACCAACATTCAGTGTAAGAAGTTATTGTACATTTTTTTCACAAAAATCAGCTCACTCACAATTGTAATATGATTGAGGTACTCTGTCTTGCAGACATCATTTCAAATCTGAAAACAATATATTAGGCCTACTCGCATAATAGAGGGCATAAAATCCAGTGTAAGGGCAAATAAGACACGTCTGCCATCTAGTGGTGAATGATGATATTACAACTTTAAAACAACATATTTGGAATTCGGTACCCGCAGATTTGCGTATTTATATTTGTTTCCAATATGTTATCATACTTTGGACTCACCGTATTTCTTGTGGAATCTGTGTGTTGAATGTTTATCAGCATTTTAAAAATCAAGGGCCACTCAGTGCAGTCACATGCAACTTGCTGGTTGCCCATCCCTGTGCTATTTCATTAGCCCATCTATGGCATTTACACAGGTGATGAGATTCAAACCCGAAACCTCTAAACTGTGGAGCAGTCACCCTAACCACTCACTCACTCACTGTACTGTTTTCATGATCATTTGGACTGTTGTAATCCTTAAGACTGAAGCTGAAGCGCACCATGAATGTAACGGGCTACTGTTATCTTTCTTATGCGGCAAAGTTCTAAGATTTTTTTGTGTGTTTATTTCTAATCTTTATGAATATGCTGCATTTTGTGTCGGATTTACGTTGAGAATTTGTGGATTAAACATATTTCCATCCCTTGCCTTAATATGCACGTTTTTAACATTTACCATTTTAATGTATTCTTTCTGTAAGGTAAGCGACTGGATGTTGGAATTTCCCTCACGATTATTAAAGCATCAATCTTAACATAGCATAGCTGGCTGGCCCTTTTGCGCTCTCCTGCAATGGATGTAACACTATCATCTTCCTCTTCAATTCAAAAGGTCAGAACCATAAATCCAGATTGACATTTTTAACGATTAAAACCATTTTGTAATCTCATCCAAGTATCTGCACATGTATGGCTCAAAAAGCAAGTGGCGAGGAGGAAAAGCGGCACACATCCCAACGAAAAGCATTGCTGGCACATACTGATGAGGTGACTGTTGTTACAAGGTGCCGGATCAACTTTAATGCGCCACATTCTGCTGAGATTGAAGCCAAATGCAGCAAAAAAGTGGGGGTGATTAAACAGCGTTTCACAGTGCAGGATGTCTGATTACCCAAAACACACAAGCCAAAGCAAATCGACGGCTTTTCAAGGCAAACAAATGGAATATTCTTGGCCAAGCAAGTCACCTGACCTCAACCCAAATGAGTCCCACAAAATTGCAGCCGAGGCCTGGCGCAGCAGCCGAAGGAACGCCACGCAGCATTTGGTGACGTCCGTTGGGGCTCGACTTAAAAAAAAAAAAAAAAAAAAAAATCACCCGTGTCTAAATATCACTGGACTTACAAAATAGAAAGTGGTTTCAAATTCTAAAACACAATGGCTGGGGAGTGAGGGGGTGGGGGTCGCGCCATCAATTACAATTACGTGATTTTGTTTCCAATCCATTGTGGTGGTGCATAGGAAAACTCTCAAAATAGTCAACGTGTGTCTGTTAAAGATCACTAACAGATGTGACTGGATACATTCACTTTGTGTACAGACTGCACCTGGAGGGAAAGTTTGTCGCGGTTTGGAGCGCGATTCACAAAATGGCGACGGCACAGTTGCAAGAATCACAAATATTCACATCAATTTATTTCAAAGTTAAAAGGTAGCACACATGTTACAACGCTTAGGAACGGTTTCAGAGGCCACCCAAAAGCAGTTATTATAATAACTCCAGTGTGTCGCTCGCGTGGCGGGTGTCCAACAAGACATGTTATTTAGGACCTTGATAAAAAGAAGTCAAGTTAACAGAATTGGAACGGCTATACACCTCTTCGCCGTCTCTATCATTACGTTCACATTTGGCCTCACTGGTTAACTTCCTGTCCCAAAGTGGAATACATCTGGTGGATATCAGTCGCCATACAGTTAATAAAAATAAAATTTAAAGTCCAAATGTCACTAAAAGATTCACAGATAAATAACACGAGATCACCTATTTCAGCAACTAAGATCAATGAAATTGTCAAATATATTCAACACTGACTTACTCAGTACAATATTCGCGATCAAAAAGGAAACGCCTTCATAAGATGTCTTCAGTCTGTGCGGATTGTATTCGGACAGCCAGTATAGTGTGCAAAATATACGAGGGTGGCCCAGCTTTGATCCAATGTGGTGCTGGTCCAGCAGATATAACAAATAATTGTCTTGTAGGGTTTTTATCTGGCATTTATTAGTCACATTCTCAAGATATATTCCTCTGAGAGCATCCGTGCATGAGTTCAGACGTATCATTGAAAACAGTGCAACAATAGTGTTACGGAGAGAAAAAAAATATCTATGTGATCGCTTGTAATGTCCCTTTTGATCTAGTTTGTACTTCATCGACACTTATGGAGATACAAACCACAAAATGAGAAACGGGAAGAGATACAAGCCACAGACTCGGTCACAGTGTGTTGTTGTTTGGGGGATTTTTTTTTGTCCTCTCCACCTTTTAACTGAGGACGACATGACGGTCGAACACAGACTTTCTCTGTTCCTGGACTTGCCTCCTCCAGCGCTGCTGGGCGTGCTCGACCTTGTTCAGCATGTTGGGTCGAGAGTGTGAGCGAGAGAGGACGTTGTGAGCGTTTGCAAAAGGCTGCTGGTCCTGAAAACGCAGACGATTATTTAGTTACGACCTGTATGACATTCCATGCCTTATATTCCAAGGTTTATAATGTAGCAAATCCCAAACTTTCTGAAAATGCTGCACTACAGTGGATCTAAAAAGTTGACAGACCCCTGTTCAAATGCAAGGAATTAAGAACCGTTGCAAATCATTAGTGTAACAGCAGACCGTAATTGCTTTAGCCTAGTAACATAATTGCCAATGCCGTTTTGTTTGTAAAATGTTTAAATAAAAAAAAAATCAAATTCAATAAACAAGAAGAGGATTTGGCACTCCAGTGGGAATTAAGAACAATTACAAATCATTAGCCTAATAAAATAATTGATTTCTCTTTTAGCACAAACCTTTGAGCTTCTTCTAGAAAAAGAAAAGCCATAAAAACCCTACAAGCACACCTCAACTTTATTTTGGGTTAATCAAAGGTACGATACATTAAATCACAGGTGTCAAACTCAAAGCCCAGGGGCCAGATCTGGCCCACCACATCATTTTATGTGGCCCGTGAAAACAGATCAAACATGTCAACTTCCATGATGCTTTCTATGATGTCGAGCAACATTTTGAATTCTCAAATGTAATAAATAAGAGATATTGGAAGCATTTTCTTGTTACCAAACCCCTCATGATGGTAACAAACAAGAGTTGAATCAACAGTTATTCTTGACTTCTTGATATGGCTTCAGTCATCACAGCCCTCCAAGGGAAATGGTAACTAAAATGTGGCCAGCGACAAAAATGAGTTTGACACCCTTGCAGTGAACAGTGGATGCTGTGTGATGGCTCCCATTGAACAAGAGTTTGAATGTGATTGGTCTAAACACAGTGTGCAACCACATCATCTATATTTATTTTTACTTCCCTCTCAAATGTTTTTTTTTCTCAATTGTGGCATACAAATTGTAGGTCACATTACTGGTTTAAAGGATTCGAAATGATTCATCTTGAGCTCATTTTTTCTCTCTCTCTCTCTCTCTCTCTCTCTCTCTCTCTCTCTCTCTCTCTCTCTCTCTCACGCACTCACTCACTCAAAAACCTGTCATTTGAACAAGGGTGATAAGACTTGTAATGTCCACATCATGTCCCAGAAGAGTGTCACTTTCAAAGGACGACAGCACAGGAAACCCAGGTCAAAGATTACATGAGTTCATGTTTTCTGTCAGCATTTCTTCTATCAACTGAATTTTCCACAGTGCTAATTTGAAAGTTCTTCAACGGCCAAAAATTCTCCAGGACAGTTCGTATTCCCTGGAGGAATTTCAGTGTCTTCCGGTCACTGCCCCCCCGCACCCCTTTATAAAAGAAGTATTGGAGGCTCGAAAAAAAATGGCAATGATAAAAGAGCACATAATTAAAGTTTCAATGCTACAAGTACAAGATCAGAATTTTCCTACAAAATAAGTCCCGGTAATATGATCACCACAAGCAGGGGTCCCCAACCGCCGGTCCGCGGACCGGTACCGGTCCGCCGGGCATTTGGTACCGGGCCGCATCAAGCCACGCTTCTCCGTCACGTGACCGATTACGCTAAAAACAAAATGCCGGAGCTTTCAAAATGAGTAAAAAAACTGCTGGAGATCGCAAATGACGGCGGCCTTAAAAGTACGTTCAAGACAACTGGATTAAAATTATGGCTGAATACTCTGAGATGGCCACAATAGCACTGTTGCTATATCCGACATGCTACCTGTGTGAGGAGGGGGTTTTCTGCAGCAACGGCGACGAAAACAAAATTACGAAGTAGACTGGACATAAACCACACACTTGAGGTGTCATTGTTTCCTATTACCCCGAGATGGGCCGTCTGGTTGCAGAAAATCAAGCTCGGTGCTGTGGTGAGTCGTCATTTTCATGCACTTTGAATTTGCGTTGTATCGTATTTTGAAGGCATTAAACATTGCCATAGCGATCGGAGTGTTGCGGCCAGATTAGACGCTCCTTGTGTTTATTATTATATTTCGAAAACGCCACAGTTTTCATGCAGCTCATACCATATTATTTTGTTGTATTAATTCCGCCACACCTTAAATGCCGGTCCCTGAAAATATTGTCTGACATAAACCGGTCCGTGGGGCAAAAAAGGTTGGGGGCCCCTGACCACAAGGAACAAATTAAAATGTTACTTGGGGAGATTCTAGTCAGGTACTGAATCCCGTCGAGATGCCAGTGAGCAGGTTTCACGTTGTGATGTTGTTCACGCTCTCTTTTTCATTACGTTGGACTTCCACATTTTTTCCACAGATTCTTGGTTATTTCTCACAAGGTTACACATTCAAAACAGAATCTGATCCCCGACGTTACTGTTTTCCAATACATTTTTGTTCTTCTCGAGCGAAATTTGCCAAATAAAACAACTCGCGAAAAAAGGAGTCTCGGCTCCTCCGAACAAGCGGTTCAGAATTCCGCCTGTAACCACACAGCCTTGGGTTTGATTCGCGTGGGTGGCATTGGTTTATGTGCTGGGGAGTGAATAAACAGCAGAGGTATGTAGAATGCTGTAAGGCTTAATGAAATGAAATTAGTTTGAGATACGGTGGCACCTTGACTAACAAGTTGAATTCGTTGCGTGACTACACTTGTAACTCAACCTGCATCTAAAATCATCTTTCTCCATTGGAATAACTGAAAATGCAATTCATCCATTCCACGGTGCGCGAGCCAATTAGGAAGCAACCTAAAACCCGCGCTGTTGCAAAATCGAGGAGGAACTAGTTGTCTCGAATGGTTGTGTTTACGTTTCTCCCAAGTATCACTGACCTAAGATCTAAGAAAGAAGCAACACATTATCTTTGTTGTAGCAGAAAATTTGATGCAACAACTCTTGTGCGGTATTGGATTTCATTCGATTGTGCGGGTGTACCAAATGTTGTTTCCCATGCTGGCATGTAGGGAGAGAGACATAACTGCATTGACCACCTCCCGCTAAATAATGGATGCGCTATGATGAGAAGCCGAATCGAGCACTCAGCAAGTGTGCAAGTGAGTGTGCTCTCAAATGGATCCTACAGTCGGCTCTCCCGCGCAACACATCTGCTGCCGCCACAGAGAATGATGAAAAATAACACATCGCTCATTTGCACTGACAACTTCATGCCTCAACCCATTTAAACAGCTGCTTTAAAGTTTGTTTCCTTCGGAATCCTACTTTTATATTTACATTTCAGTATTTCAGACCTACAATCTTGTTAAACTTGACGAAGGGGAAATCTTAGCTTATATACACATCCACAAGCCCTCACAGCTAAGTGTTACCAAGTAAATAAGAAAAACATCGCATAAATATTACTATTAGACAGTGGCGACTGGTTGGGGATGGTTACAATGAGACAGATTTCGAGAAAATGAGTTTTTGGTGAGGCGATGTGATCACATACCCCAACATCATCGTCACTTTGAATGAGCTGCGAGTGACCAAACAGACGTCTTTTCAGGATGGGCTCCAGGAGCGTCAGGTAGACCATGTAGAGAAGCAGCAAGCCCAAAATGGACAAGTAGATGATGATAGTGACCTTAGGTGGGGGGAAAAACTAGTACAGGTTAGAAGGGTTGCAAAAGGCCAACAAATCTCCATACATGTCCCTATGGCCCATTTGGGGTACTTTCCACAAGAATTGATGATAAGTAAAAGTAATTAGGTAAAAATGTGGACATGACTGTAAAAACAATAGCAATGGTCAACCGCAAGTTTTTATCAGAAATGGCTTTATGTGTCCCTAATAGTTAAAAAAAAATTATCAAGAACTACCGAAGCACATTTTTTACACCAATTTCAAAAAGGTCATTTTTCTGGCACGTCAGGTTTTGCAGATATTTTCTTTGTTGTTGTTGTTGTTGTTTTAGAGTTCGACTTATAAAACCCTTGCACAAGACAGATTTGACCACATGTATGAATTTTCAGCATTTCAGGAAAAAACGTCACCGGTTACTGAAACTAATATAGGTTGAAAATGTAGATTAGTCTTTCTCAGCGCGTTTCAGCCAGCAGTGAAGTACTGTATTTGTGCTTAAAACACTCATCCAGTAATGCAAATGGTTGTACAACTTACCTTAATAGTGCCTGAGCTTCTCTCTTCATATTTACACTCACAACGTAAACAGTAAGCCTCCACGTCTTTTCCATCCACCGGCATTGGTTCCACTACATGCAGACAGTTACTGGAAAAGGGGAAAAAACACATTAAAAAAGACATTCACGCCGGGACATGCATTCATTTGGAGTGGGAAAAACACTGAGCATACCAGTCTTTAAGAGACACATTCTGCTTGTAGATCTGTCCCTCGATTTCTCTGTATGGTGGGCAGATGCATTTGCAACGAATGTCTTCAGAATTCTGGAAGAAACATTATCTCATATTATTTTAAAATATACTGTCTATTTTTATTATCTTTAGGCCCAATTTTTGTTGATCATTATGCCCACTTTATTTTGACATTCTACTGCTTCCACATTTCGATACGGATTCAAACTTTCAAAGACTCATAAAATTCAAGAATGGGAGGAATTACTTTCCATAATCCAAAAATGCTCACATATCCCAGATTTCAACTTTTCCACCCAAAAAAAACATTGAAGTGAATGGGATGATTATGAAATTCTCAAACAATGCTCCTCTGAGCATTCATTCCATACTCTCGATATCCATCTTAAATTCCATGTACTTGTGGCGTTGTTATCCTCACTAGCAGGACAACATTGGCATTCTAGTGAGGAAAAACTGTGCACTTGTTGACAACTGCGTACTATTAGCACTAACGAATGACACCAAAATTCTACGACTTAACATCTAGTGCTTCACTAGTAGTGTGAAGATGTCAACTTGTGCATAGTTTTGCCAGACTAATAGTGACGCCCTACTTGTATGCCAAGATCATCCCACAAGTGTGTCAAAACATCATACAGTAGCGGAAGGCAATATGAGAGGAAAACGTTACTTGGAAGACACATTTCTACTCTTCTCCTAGTGCACTGAATTATCTTACTAGTTAAGACAAAGCGTGTACAGTTTTCCTTTGCTACTTCACGCTTCGGTTATTGTGGATTTGCGGATTTTCATTTGTGACGGTGACATAACCAATAGTTTTAACTCTCTATTTTTGTGGGTTTTCTAACTACTTTTCTTACTTTTAAATCGGAGCAGTCAAGAAATTTTTAATGTTTTTTTTTTCTTTTAAAGGAGAAGAGCATGCGCCGCTTACATTTATTCATGAATTCAGATCTGAATTTATTCACCATTTTAAATTGTGGAAGTTAAATTTATTAAGTTTAACAAGTGTTCTCAGGGGGCTTTCTATCAACGTAGTAAGACAACATTGGCATACAATAATAGGACAATTACAGGTGATGAGTGAGGCAAAACCATGCACTATTTGACAAATGTGTCTTACTAGTACTAGTACTGTAATTGTGTTGAAAAATGTCATACACATGTTACAAATACACGCACGCTCTCTACAGGGTGCTCAATTGTGTACAAGTGAGGACACACGGTGTACTAGTACCTGAAGCTGGATGTCAAGATTACCAAAAGAATGCTCAGGCGGTTTTCCAGAACACTAGTAGCACAACTTTGACACACTAGGAAGACAACTACATGTTTAGGGAGGCAAAGCTGCTCACCAATTGACAACTGTGTGATACCAATAATGCTACTGACATTAAATTTTCCTAGTTAGCTTCACGAGAAGTACTAGTAGCACGCATATTTCAACTTTTGCTAAATTTTGCTTATTAGTAACCTGTAGTTTTGGTACTCAAGTGCCAAAGTTGCTCTACTAGCATGCAGAAATCCTGACAGAAGTGGAGGCAGTAAGGTAGGAAGGTAACTAGTTAAGCGCAGTCGTTGCACGTTGAATTGTCTTACGAGACAGGTCAAAGCGCGTGCTAGTACATGGACCTAAAAATGGATTCCAAGATTAAAAAAAAAATAAAAAAAAACTTAAATAATTGCTCAAAAACGATTTTCCACAGGCATCACACATGTTCAGAACTGTAAATACAAAACTTGACTAGATGGCTGACATTTTATACAATTTATCTGAGCACACTAATTCAACACAACGCGTAGATGAGTTGTGATACAAACAGAAAACATTCGTGATAAAAATCTACATCATATGTCCCCCTGTCCCAGCTAGCGTTAACCTTACCTTCGCTGTCACTTCGCTTAGAAGCAAAACACACACAAAGACAAATGTCCGTAGAAGAAACACGCCCTGCATTTTAAAAACATGTGTAGTGCACAAACGAGAGGGGGTAAACGGTTTACACGCAGCACGCTGTTACGTGTTTTCTGTTAACGAGGGACTAGGTTAGCCATGATGCTACCAGCCTCGCATCAGCTGACCTAGAGCTTCCGGAACATGGCGACCAATTTCCGCACATCGTGCTCCGTTATGAAATACAGTCGAGCTCTTTCAATAGACAGTCAAGGATCGCTATTTTTACAAGGAAAACATTTTCACCAATATAATAGAATAAGCAGGTATATATTCAGATGATATAATGACTTGATATGATTATTTATTTTTCAACTCCCCGTCTGTGCTCATAACATTACACATGAGCACAGACGGGCAGTTAAACTCCGTAGATTCGAGAATGACGTGTGACCGAAACAAACGTAACCAAGGATTTGCTGTCAAATTTTTGGGGTCCGCAAAATCTCCCAAATATTATGCTAGCTTACATATTTTGTGTGTTTCTTTTTTTAACTTACTTCATATGTTAAAATTGTTATTTTTTTTACTATCATGGTTTTGCATTGGCTTTCATTTACATTACATTATTTTGTCTCGCATGTGATGTGCTAAGTTGCCGTTTGACATAATACAGTATTGACATGAGTTGTTAAAAGAAAGTACTGAAACAAAAAAAAACGTGTCTAAAAGTGAAAAAAATGATTCCTCACGAGTAGGCTTCAATTCAGTTGGCCTCCAAACTTTCATATTAGACACAAACGTTGTTTTACAGTTACTCTTGCCTCACATGAAATGACAACAAATGCAAAGTGACACATTTTTCTCCTGCATTATTTTATACTGTATTTCAAACTTAGAATTTAGCAGATGAAAGTCACAATCTTAAAAATGAAGAAAAAAAATACTGTTAAGGTTTCTATCTTTATTTACAGTATAGTAGATGTACAAAACCATAAAAATATACACACACAAGAATCATCTATGGCAGGTGAGTAGCTCAGTTCTATTTTACAAGACTTTTCATTGACTTACCTAATTTTACTGTTACTCAGAAACATGTCATACCATTACATGCTCTTAATTGTCAGAATAGTTTACAGGCGTCTTTGGTTATTGGTTCACGATAAAAAACAAAATTTAAAAAAACAATGGAGGAGTTGAGATGCCCTTATTTCATTTATTCGTCCTCTTTTTGGAATTTGGGATGTATTTAAAGTGATTTTCCATAATGTGGCAGCCTCTGAAATAAGAGTTGCAGTACTATCCCGTCAAACATCTCATCGCGACCATACATTTCACCTAAAACTTTTTACATCATATACAAAACATTCATCAGGATAATTGTTTTTTGTGGTTCCACTACTTTCTTCATAGTGCTAAAATTCCCAAGAACGACATATGTGCTATCATTGTTTTTCTCATTGTGTATATCTGTCACTTGTAATAGTAGCCTATGTGAAAACTACAGACGCACTCTATATACAGTATCACTGAGTTTCAGTATATGTTTACTTTGCTACTCACTTCTCATCAGAATGCCATCAGCAAAAGTCTCCTAGTGTTGCAAAGAGCAGGTTGAGCAATATTCACTTGGATGAATACAGATAAGATGAAAATACAGAAGGCTCGTCAAACATCATAATGAGACGTATACATCGAAAAGGAGGTTATACAGTTAATGTCGTCGCTCTGTTTTAATTTCAATACAAAGTGGCAGAAGTGATCCTGATGCTCTATTGAGGCCAGAATATTCCTCTGCTAAGACGTCCAGTTCAAAAGTCTGCTCTCTTTTCTTTTATTTCTCCTCAGGATTACTTGCATCGGTTATGTGATCCACTGCATTATTAAGCATATAACGAGAGAAAACATTGAAACCAGACAAATACTCGCGGCTGCTTTAACTATTCATCAGCATGGTGTCCTTCAGCACTTGCTTACGGACGAAGGAATCTCAGGACTTTGGAGCGCAGGAAGCGGATGAAGGATTTGGGGAACATTTCTCTGGATTCTTGTGCCGTGTAGTTGAAGAAGTTTTGTGGGTGAGCCAGAACATCGAATAAGGCCTTCATGAGCTTCTTGTCCTACATAAGAGCATAGGAAAAATATATAACAAACAGCAAAGGTAATGCATACAAATGGAATAAACATGAGTGGAGATAAACAAGAAATTAGCATGTGCTGTATTTACTGAAAGGATGAAATATATTTAACACAAAAGGCGGTTATTCAACACATAAACACACCCAACACCTTTTTAGGTACAGCAAAAAGTCAAATGCCTACTCAAAAAAATCAATAATTACCATTATGTCTAACGTCAGTGAATTTTGAGGTAAGATAATAAGGAAGAGCCAGAAAAATGAGGGTTAGAAATCACGAGAAACGTCCAATCAGCTCCATTACTCAGATTTCATTCCTATATTTCACAAACACTAGGGGGGCATATTTGAAAAGTATCATGTGGTTATTATAGCATGTTGGAATGCATGAACCTAACCGCAATTACATTTATAATTGTGGCAATAGTTGGCAGACGTGTAGAACAGAGCCGCATATTCAGAGACGTTCTTAATGTTTTGACTCGCCCGTGTGACTAAATGAAGCATTTGAAATAAATCAGTTTAGTTTACACCAATTTCTACCAAAAAATACATCATGTTAAATGAATCCCCTCTGATCATAACCTTGCAATCTTTTGTCAAAGCAGTATTTTGCATGTTGGATGCCGTTCTTCACATTGTGGCCAGTATTGTAATAGATCAACTTTATGTGAGAACAAGAGGCTGCTTCATCTTGAATTTGTGGTGGGTCTCTGGAGAAGCCGGTGGTGCTGCTCCAAACCAAAACATATTTGCTCTTGTGGCTTGTACGGGAGGGTAGCTACGGTTTGCATGGATGTCTTCATCCTCATGAGAATAAGCACTCAACAATTGCAAAAGCTAAACTGAAACATGACTTTATTATTATAATTATTATTATTATTATAATTGTTACAAACTTAAATCCTGACTAATTTTCTTTTTACTTTGTCACCAACGTTGACATTAGCAGATGCTGCTTGTAGTTATACCTGTTTCCAAGAGAGGGCAGTGCACACTTATACAAACAAACAAAACAAAAAAGGGAAGCGTCTACCAGAATGGTTATCAAACTTTTACACAAGTACCACCTCACACAAGCCACAGGTTTTATTCCTAAAAACTGTATTTAATATTTTTGATATTCACGTAACATTATGCACAGTCTCAACATCAACACTGTGCTTAGATATGAGAAAATGAAACGCTACACGTGAATGTGTTGTACACAAAAGTTAAATAGAACTGAAATATATGGCACTGGATTAAAAAGAAAAAGATAGAGCCACCGTAAAAGTATGCACATTTATTTAATTTAGTGCACCATGAGTGGTAATCGTACCACACTTCGAAAATCTGTATGTAAATAATGATTTAATGAAAATAAATGTCAATATATTGTTACCTAAATAAAAATGTTTGAAAACAAATACTTCATAATTATTAAATGCAAATGTGTTGTTCCTAAAAGTTAAATACAACTAAACTGTACTCTCCTGTCCGGTAAAAAAATAAATAAATAAAAAATTAAGTCACTGTACCATTCACTAATTCAGTGATTCTTTTGCATACCACCGGGGGGAGCCCGCATACCTCTTCTAGTGGTACTTGAAGCACATTTGAAGAATCACTGGTCAAACTTCTCTTGGGCAACATTGACGGTACATATGATAATACAGTACATTTAACTGGTGGATAAAAGTGTACGGTAGGATAAGGTATAAAGTTTCTGTGGAGGACAAAAAAAAAGGATTATTTGCATACCTTTAGAATCTCTTGATGATTCTCTGACGCATATAACCTCCCGTCTCTAACGATGTCCTCTATCAATTCCTGGTAGTCCTCTACAGTAAAAAGTCCATCAAGAGCGTCACAAGACAAAAATGCATACAAATAGACTTGACAACATCAAATTAATGGGACAAGAAATGCTATTGTTTTTTTCACTTACCATCATATGTAACGTACGGCACCTGGAAGCCTTTCCCGCTGTTTCCCTCATTGGATCGGAATTGAATCCAGAGCCTCTTGGAGCGAGAGGTGAAGGCGATGGGACGCTCGTATGTCTGGCACGTTTCGTAGGTTGTCACAGAGTTTAACAGAGCTGTGAAATTCAACCATATGACACAACATCACATACACATGCAAAATATCAAAACACCTACTCATTCATTCAATTTCGATAGTGCTGGTCCTCATTAGGATCATGAGTGCGCCTGAGCCGAAATGGCTGAAAGCAAGCCCGCTGATGTATCTTGGCCCTGGCATGAGTTGTCCCGAGTATAAAAGAACCTGAACACTTTGTTTGCATCAGCAGTTATCCGGTGCAGTTGCTTAGTGCAGTCAGGTAACCGTTCACCTGGTGTGGCCGCGTTAGAGCGCCTCAACCTCAGCAGTGAATGTGCGCACGGCAAGCAGAGAAAGATGCAAAAGTAAGGAGTGAGGAAAATCTTTTAATAAGTCCGACTTCACAGTGTGCGTGTTGACCGGGGCTACGGGCTAGCTTGACAGCTTTAGAGTGCCACAATGTCTGCCATGAGTGTGCACACTTCACACAGAGAAAGGCCGAATACTAAGGATGGAGGTAGAATTTCGTTTACATTTCTGATGGGACAACTAGCATGTTGTCAGCGGCTTTGTGTTGGCATGGCCACTTTAAAGCACCTTGTTGTTGCGATGTGGAAAAGCCCTACGATGACTAAGATAGATACCAGCCACCAAAGGCTTTAAGCGGATATATTTTCACAGGTCAAACATGTATTGATGTGTCGGTTATAAGAAAGATGCTAGGCAGACTACTGTCGGATCTATATTTCCAGCTCGTAGTAGAAGTATTTGACTGACAGTTGACAGCTGAGCAGGGCATATTTTAATGATTTTGAGGCCTCACGTTACATTGCATACTTGCCGTTTTTTTGTAATCATATAAATTTGGTATAAATGTTAACACCATTTTTTTCTGTGGTGTCTCACAATGTCTTTTTGAGACTTTATAAGTTAAAGTGAACTCATAAACAAATGTAGTATGCTAAATACAAATCAAGTTTAACCCACTGTAAAAGTATAGGGACAAAAAGACAACCAGACTCACCACTTTTCCTCATGACTAAGTAGTCTCCACACTCGTCCTCAATTGGCAGGAAGATTTCTGGCACCACAATAAGAATCCTACGTTTGGGCGGCGGATTGATGGTCCACGTGCACTCCACGTTGGCCGGGTAGTTCCCGGGATAGTTGGGGGACTCGATGTAGCCAGTGAAGTCACCCAGCTCGCCCCCGCACTGTCTGTCTGCGAAGCGACACTGTTTCGTCAACTCTTTCGATTTGTTCGGCCAATCAAAATGCTTCATCGTGTATACTCATACTTTTGCACTGCATAATGCTGGTGGAGCCATCAAAATCCGTGGAGGTGTTTCCGGGGCAGGAGACGCAGTAGTTCTGCCCAAACTCCACCTGAAAGGTGCCCGTGGGGCAGCGGATGCAGCGGTGTGTTGTTGTGTTGTAGTAGTGGCCTGGGGAGCACTGAACTACAAGGACCAGAACACATGTGGTCGTCAATCAAGTCCTTCAGAATGTCGCATCTGTTTCATTGGCTTTAGTGGAAAGAGTTCAAAGCTGTCGGGAATTTTACAAGTAATATCCAAATTGTACTTATAAGACAATGTTCATCCTCACATCGACAAGTGACACTTTATGTCAGAGATATGTATCCGATTCTCTTTTATTGGAGAGATGCGTACCCCTCGCGTTTATGGATTTGTTAAAAAAATCAAGGATCCTATTAGTAGGCCAAAAGTGGTACTGTAGTGGACAAAATCGTTACTAAGTCAATAATTCTAAGTCATTCTAGTTCCCTGAATTTTCTTATTACACTGAAAAAAAAACCGCTGTGTAGAAATTTGTCATTTTCATTTCAGCAAGTTGTTGCACAAAACAAGATCATCTGGATTCAGATACGTTTTATAAGCAGACTGCTACTCTACTTCAAACAAAACTCTCTTTGGATCCAGATGCTTTTATTTTGTGTGACCACTTGGAAAAAAAATGTAGTTAACGCAAGACACCATTTTTTTTCAGTGTCGTGAGGACAAGTATGTACTAGTACATGGAACTTAAGGTGGATATCAAGAATATCAAAGCCATGCCGCTGTATCTGAACACACAACGTAGTTGTTTACATAGTAAGCCTAAAAAAAATAAATAAAAAAAGAAGAAGAAGAAGCACACCTTTGGTCTCACACTCTTGAAAGGTGACGGCACCACTGCGCTTGGTCACCAGGTTACCCCCACAAGGGAAGCAGGTGGTACGTCCCACTTCTGGCTGGTACGATCCCAGAGGACACAGCAGGCAAGGGGTGAAGCCATCTTGGGAGAATTGACCTGGGGGGCACTGACCTGAACACACACACACACACACACACACACACACACACACACACACACACACACACACACACACACACACAAACACACACACACACACACACACGTGCGCGTTTAGCAAGAACTTATTCCTGATTGGACTGATGTGTTGCAACTGCTTCCATGACAACAAGAGAGCAGATGTTGGAGGGAAAAAAAAAATCATGTTTTTTTTGTTTTTCAATTTTTTATCTCCAATCACATCACACGTAGTATCTGGTTGACTAATACAAAGTAGGCGCCTCTGGGAGGCTACAGATAAATCTTTTTGTTTAGTCTGTCAGGGGAGATGTGGATTTAAGCTATGGCATCACGCCACATGCTGAGTGCGATAACGACAGGCGGGGAGAGCAAAACATGGTGGCTCACCCTCAGCGTTTATTCCCAAAGAAGATAAGTTCGCCTCTAAACTCGGCTTTCTTTGGTCTTACACAAAGCAGAGAATTTCTGACAGAACATCCTTATCAAGGCACCGTCGCATCTTGTGTGGTTTCTCATTGTGAAAAAAGTTAGTTGCAAGCTGGTTTTCGTATTGCCCAGCTTTCTCATTTGACTGTCAACGTTTCATTTATTCACATTATCAATTTGTAACAATCATGAATACACCTCTCGGCCAACATTCTTATGTTGGATTCCGTTTGGTGGTCAGTACTTTCAAGGGAAAAAAAAAAGAATCAAGTGTCTTTTCTCCTGTTATTTTTGGTTTTTAACAGCATGAACTCAGTCTGTCGGGACTTGGGCAAGTTATTTTTCATTCTTCACAAAAACCTCTGCTGATGTTCCTTTTTTTAATGGCACACATCCCCTGCTTATTCACAAAACCCCTAATTTGTCAGAAATTATATTTATTTATTTATTGTTTGATTTATCTTTTAACTTTTGGGGTGACCCCAGCTATTTGTGGATTTTTGCTCTTCGGATTTAGGCTTGATCCTTATCCCTTCTCTGCAAATTATTGTGTAGTTTATGTTCAGAACAGATTTGGTTAAAATAAAAGCGAATTGATTTTTATTACAAAATGAAAAGAACAAATGCTTTTAGCAACAAAGACATTTGCTTTAGTGGGTCATGTAAACTGATGCGGAGGGCCAGATCTCACTCCCATGTCTTGACTATGAGAACTAGAGTGGGCTCCCTCTAGTGGCATGTGATCAAATCAAGTACAGTTCAGTTGTATTTAACTTAAGTTCAATACATATACAGTACATTGAATCTTTAAGAACTGACTGTTTGAAAACATTTGGTAGAGATTTTCTTTAACCTTAAATTGCGACACAATTCAACTGAATCATTATTTCAGTGCAGCTTTCATTTTTTGCATCTTGAGTGCTGCATTAATGTAGAACTGTGCATAATGTCACAGTAGCTTACAATAATATTACACATAGTTTTTAGGAATCAAACCTCAGTCTCATTTTTGAAGAACACATAGGCTTACTAGCTACTGTATTCCAACGTTGGCTATGAAGGTGGAATTTTTTTTAGGTGTTTTTTTGGAGTGCTAAAATGTCTTCCTAGGTGCTACATTTTTACCTCCGCACTCGGAGACGTTTCGAGCTCCGGCCACTTTGGCGACGTCCTTTCCTTCAGGTGTGGGGCACACCTCGCAGGACATCTGGCCTTCCTCGTCCTGATAGGTACCTGCTGGACACGTCACACACCTCCCCTGGTCGCCATCATAGTATGTGCCAACACTGCAGCTCACTGTTGGACAGGTGAGGAGTGGGATTGGTATTTAACACATAAGTGAAGAACCTTGCGCCAAAAAAAAAAAAAAAAAAAAAAAAACAAAGCCTAAAACTTGTCACGCTTGTGTTTATTCAACACAGTGAATGTTTTGTCGTGTTTGGGACAAAAAAATAAATAAAATACACATTCCCTGAATAAAAATAGTCTTGTAATGTGGCATCTTGGTGCTTCTGTACCCGAGCTGGTCTCCTCATAAAACAAAAACAAAGCATTAGAAGTCCAAAGCTAAATGCTGTCTGCACTTGTAATTAACAACCATTTAAAAGACAGATCAGTATGTGGCGTGTCAGTCGAGCAACCCCGCCGCAAAAGCCATGAGAGGGGAAGCCAGACAACAAATCAAACGGCCCTGACAACACAGCAGATTTACACCATCAACGCTGCACTTCAAGTGTGTAACAAGAACATAAAATTAAAGCAAGCCAGACTTCATCAGCACATCGGCTGCCTTTAAAAGGATCTGACGCACAGGTGACGAAGCCCGCTGTCTTCCAAATCACACACTAATTCTCAGCAGATTTTCACATTGGGATAAGTGCTGTTTATTTGAAAGCACTCACCACCTCTTTTTTTTCCCCAGCAACAAGTACGCTTTACTTCTGCATAACATTGGTGAAGTGATATTCCAGGGAACCCATCACAGTCTTTAAACATTTGCTGAAAACAGCATTTCAGTTCCACACCCCAACGATCTCACCCAACAAACAGATAACATTATGGAAAGTCGTTTCACAGCACAACTACATCTTTGACATCCAGTTTAAGGTCCATGTGCTAAGTCGTATGCTGCTTGTCCTCACTCGTTTTGTCAACTCGGCGTACTAGTTGAATGACTAGTGTCATATTAATAAATAGATTCTATCATCTTCTCTGTTTCACTACTTGTTAATGTGAACAAATTATATTGTAGATGCTCTTAAAATAAAGAGACAAAGTCTTCAAACCGACTGCAAAATGTCCTAAATCCTTTTTTAACATTTTCGGAAAGCAAGAAAAAGCTGAACCAACTGAACTAACAAAAAGAGTCCAGTTGCCTCAATTCAATCTTTGTGGATTAATTACCATTCCGTCAATAACTGAGAATCTAAACAGGCAAAATGGCAACGATTTTTTTTGAAGCAAGCACATGGACATTTTTATTTTTATTTTTTGGTAATATTGTGACGGTAAGTTGAAAATGACTTGGGCAACTATGCTTTAGGATGACAATATGTTTGTTCATAAGAAATTATTACCAAATTCCGGTTTTACTAAAGAAATGTGTAAAACTGAAGTGCTCATCGCACTTAATACAACTGTGTGGAATAAAACAATACAAATAACAACTGCTTCTAATCAATCTTTTTTTTCACAGAAGGGATTTGGGATATAAATTATAAAAGCTGTAATTGACACTAACTAAGCTACGCATACCTCCTGCGTGAGCCGATACGTACACCCAACACGTGAAGGCATGCCTGCGCTCCCTCATATTATGTCAGAAACTTCAGCACATCCAGTAAACTAGAGTCAGGGGCACATAAAATTGTACAAAAGTGCTACGCCGGGTCATTAAGAGCTGTTGCAAACCCGACGCCAAATGCATTCGTGTAAAAAGCAGAGAGACAAAAGAGCACCCGGCCTCTCCACAGCTGCCTCGGACGACTTGATGGAGCACGGCTGCTGTGGCTCGCCAAATGACTTTTAATGTCGCCGTAAGGCCCCAAACACAGAAGCAAATCAAAGAGCGCATTTTCCTCTTATCTCTTAAACGCCTAATTAAAGGGACTCTTTGCTTGGGTTCCTCCCTTTCAGACTGATGCCTGTAATTAATTTCGGGAACCTATTCTTATGAACTCGACTCGGGAGAATAAATCAAGAATCCAAACTTTCAGTGCTCACAAAGGTGTTAATTAATTACGTGAGGTTCAGCAAATTGTTCAATTTTCTCTCCTGAAAGAAAAGAAAATATAATTCTCTCGAGAGCGGTACGATTTTTGGAAGGCCCATTGTTTACCGTGAAAGAGCATGAGGAGCCATCATCGTATTGTCCGTACAGCTTTTATTTGACAGAGGGAAACAGTGAGAGAAGAGACGGAGTGAGAGTGAAAGAAAGAAAAAAACCTTGAAGCCTTTCAAATGCAAAGAGCGCATCCATAGTCCTCCAATTGATGGCCCCAAAGAGGTTTGAAAGACCTTTCACCTCTATTCAAGGCCTCAGTCTTTGCCCACTTGATGACATAGGAAAACACTCGGGTATCACAGTGGTAAGGAGCTGAACCCAATAAAAGGGATCAGCTTTCTGAATCCCCCCATTCTGCTCGGCCCAATCGCTGCTCACGCCCATCATGCCGGGGCCCAAACAGCTGATGCTAATTGATTCCCATGGTATGGCTGAAGTCAATTCTCTTTAGCAGTTTAGTGGCTGGGGGTCATGCAAAGTGGCCCCGGCTGGGGGGCACTTTGGATGCAAGAGGAGAGCGGGGGGGACAAGCCACACTCAAGCTGCCAGCTTCAATCAACAAGACTTCCTAAACAACTTAAAACAAACAAGGAACAAAAAAAACCCCAGTTCATTTAGTCACTTTTTATATCGACTAGTTAATTCTTAACCTGCCAGTGACGCCAGAGTGATCACAACTTAACCAGCTCAAAGGATAGCAGCGGCCCGTGGAGGCGAATGAAGCCGAGCACGCTGCCAAAGTCGGTAGAAAGTGAAAGCGCACCTCTCCGAATGCACTGGAGGCTGCCTTGTGGTAGAGCGCCTCGTCGCTCTGAGTGGGCTTTTCAATGAATGGCACCAAACTGCAGAGCTAAGCCAAAGCGGGAGGTGGGGGAGGAGGAGGAGGAGGAGGAGGGGAAAATATAGCTCCTTTAAAGAGCTGGAGGTTAAGAATGCCTTTCACTCACCCCCACTCCACCTCCGCCACCACCTCTTTTCTCCTAAATAACATGTCCACGCCTACCATGGCCACTGGACTGCTTAATGTTGATCTGAGAACATAGCACTTAAGATCTGCCATACTCACATCATTAGACAGTATATCAGCATCACAAATTATAAACTCATGAAAATACATCAACACCTTTCCCAGTAACACAGTCAGATGCCTCATGTAAGGGAGGATTTACAGTGGGGAACGCCTCTTATACTGCTTTCGATGTGCATCAGTTAATACACTAAATGTGTTGAGAAGCGACCCTAAAAAGGAATTTGGCAGTACTGTTTTAACAATGAAGCAGCAAAAAAAAGGTAAAGGAGTTTACAGTTACAACGAGGCACTCTTAAACAGCTATGCCAGCTGACCGACACCTTGGCTGTCAAGTTAGAGTTAATTCAAGTTAGAACCTCCACACCTTTCCCTGTGCACACTCATGGTCAACAATGTGGAGGTTGAAAACGCCCACGCCAGCCCAGCCCGAAGGCCCGGTCCACACGCTGGCTGTCAAGTCTGACTTTCCCTCAGCTAGCTCTTTCCCTGCTCTCTGCATGATGTGCACACACTCACTGACAACAAGGCACACTATTTAAAGCAAACATGCCAGCGGACTATCTGAAGGGAAGATGGATTTTCGGGGTGTAGGCTAGCTAGCTGCACGTCATGACTGTGCCAGAGAACCGCTAATGCGAACCAAGGCGTTCAAGTTCATATAAAGTGGGGAAGGGGCTTCTCATCCCGTGTTTTTTAGCCACCACCCAAAAAATCAGGAAACATGTAATGGTGAAAAAAACGTTCGACACCATATTTCTATACTTATTACAGTACTACACAGTACGAAGTGTTAACACACTTTCAGCAATTATATTACAAAATGCATCACAAATTTAGAAATAAATCTCTGAATCCACTTTGCAGTGTCTTTATGTACAATCAATAAATGTGCATTTAATCTTTTACCATCAATCGTTTGTTTAAACATTTATTTTTATTGTGCAAATACATTGTAACTGAATCATTACTTAAGTTCAGGGTTTTTATTTTCCAATATTCAAGCCCAGCATTCATGCTAATGAATGTACTGTACATATAATAAACAAACGTAATCACTGCACAAAATAGAGTAAAAAGCGAACTCACCACACCTCCTGCCCACCAGCACCTGTCCCGCCAAGCAGCGTCCTGCTCCTTCCGCCGGCTGCGCCAAATTCTTAGCCAGCTCGTAGTCCGAGCCGGCAAAGTGGAGGTGGAACTGTTCCCGGTTGATGGACTTCCTCAGGGTGCGGATGGTCTTCCTCAGCCTTTTCTCAGAGCGTCGTCTCATGCAGTTCAGGTCGCAGCCCTCTGCTGAGAGAAGAGCTAGATACCACAACTGTCTCCAGGAGGGGAGGAAAGATGTCACCTTTGTGTTCGGTGTCAATTGATGCCTTCCTTGGAGGCTGGCATGCAAATGTGGACATGCATGGAGACAAAAACCCTCATGATAAAGACACACTTTCGCCCAGGAATAAGTCATGTCATTAAAATCTAAACATGAGATCCTTGAGCCCCAAAGTACAGTCCACCACCATTGCAGCACACTCAAAACAGGAGATACTTTCACAGACAGAAGCAACAGGAGGAGACGAGGAAGCAAAGACTGCAGGCAGTCAGGCAGGCAGGCAGGCAGAGACCAACCTGTTACCTCCTCTAGGTTCACATCCAGCTCAAACTCGGCCGTGATGGATGAGCCGTCCTCTTCGGCAGCTTTCCTGCCATGGCGGCTGCGCCCTCGGTGCGCCGACGAGGTGCAGCGCAAGCTCACGTAGCTGAACTGCACATTCTCGGTGAAGAGAAACCTGCTGTCTGTAGACGGTGGGAGAGCATCATCAACTGTCAAACGATCAATAAGTATTATCGCCAAGAGGTGCAAATTGAAATGGAATAGGAAGTTCTGTTATGTTGTAACACTGTGACAGATTTAGTGGCACACAGAAGCCCTTTACATGAACCAAAACATTCAGAACACATTTGATTTACGGCCCGGGCTCAGAGTGGCCCGTAAAAGAGTCTTGCGCTAATTCCACCCACGCTTGTCAATGGCAGACGAGGTGGTGCGCCAAGACCGGCAAGAAAAACCAAACCACATCACTTGGCCCACAAATTTCTTTCACATATGCGTCCGCTTTTTGGCTTTGTTCTGAAGCGGCCATCATGTATGCTTGATCTTCTTTAGAGGGGAGCTCACAAAAGTTCTTTTGTAAGTTATACAAAGCTTTATCCAAAGAGTTGTTGTTTTAGACGTGCTATTTCCTTTTACGGAGAATCGCCCTCCTCTCAGCGAAAAATGCATCCCGTCCACACCAGGATATTCAAATTAAAGGAAGCGAGAGATAGGACTAAATGGGCCTGGGGGTTTCAGTCATTCCGTCGATATGTGTGTTATTCCCCAATAGACAAATTAACGACTGTTAGAGAACTGCAGTTGTTTGTTTACATTCAACCTTCAGACTGCAGCCATCACGAGTTATGAACACCCTTGGCGTACAGTGGAGACTTCAATCATGCTGCTGTCTCTGACTGAAGAACAATTTCACACAACAAGCAGACTCTGGAACAAGAGGGAATAAAACTCTGAACCTCCTATGTGCCGAATGGCAATGTGAAAGGAGCTCTTATTGTATACAGTACTTCCATCTATCCATTATTTGAATCGATCATTATCCTCACAAGGGTCGCGAGTGTGCTGGAGCCTATCCCAGTTGAAGTGGTTGCCGGCCAAGCGCAGGGCACACATTAATAGACAAACAACCACCGGTAACACTCCCAATCACACTTAGGGACAATTTAGAGCAATCAATCAATCTACTATGCATGTTTTTGGAATGCGGGAGGAAACCGGAATACCCGGAGAAAACCCACGCAGGCACGGGGAGAACATGCAAACTCCACACAGGAAGGCCGGAGCATGGAATCGAACCCTTGCACTGTGAGACGGACGTGCTCATCAGTCTAACACCGTGTCACACTTGTATACTTTAATAATTGAATAAGATTTATATATTTATTTGCTACGCTTTTCTTTGGACTCACTTTGGTGGCCAGATGTTTAGGTCTTATGAGCTATGTGTTGATTATTTGGAAGATAATGTTACACAAGCTGTAGACTTACTACTTTACACTGTAGCAAAGTGTAATTTCTTCAGTGTTTTTTTTTTCCCCATGCAAAGATAGAATAAAAAGTTTACAAAAATGTGAGGAGTGTGTTTTGTGAGATACTGTGTGCATATACATTTATGTTTAGATTTGTGTTTATAAGTCACTTGTCAAATATCCTGCAGTGGTATTGAATGGCTTTCTTTTCCTTTTGTAATTTTATTTGAAATGTGTTGTGGAACAACAGCTATACAAGGCACTGCCAAAAAAAACAAACAAAAAAAACATTTTCACTCAGGGGTGCTCTCAATTTTCTGGTAGTATAGACATTAAAGGCTGTTTGAGGACGCAATAAATTTATAGAATTTATACATTGACTACACAACATAATTTCTTCATTGTTGGCCCATATAAGTACATTGTAAAATATGTACCAATATGACAATACAGTGAAACTCCTCTACAACGAAACCTACATGGGCGAAAATACCCCCTAATGTGAAAAAATCTTCATGCATTAACACCATTCCCACTTTCTTGCCCCCCATACAACGAAAAAAAAACCCCTGTTGCGTTATATCAAATCTTTTTCTCTGCTCTTGCCTCGCGACGAGATTCACTAAAACGAAGTCTAATCCAACAGCGACCTCTCCCCCCCCCCCCCCCTTTGGAGGAGGAGGCCATTAGGTTAGCGAATGTGCTTCCTTGCCTAAGTTGAGTGCACTTGCGTTGTATTGTCGAAACACGTGTACCTGAGCGTGCTGAGTTCAAGTTCTCCCTGAGTCGCTCCTGGCTTCTTTTTAAGTTGCACTTGGTCGTGCCCGACTTGAATGTCGCTGTGGTCTTAATGCGAGGCACGCCGGACAATTCTGGAGCTAGACAGGGAGCGGGTAAAAAACAACCAAAAAAATCTTGTCATTGTGATTAAAGTAAACACCCAGTAAAAACACTCAAAGCCTCAGTGACGACAGTCTTGCCATGAATCGCCTGTGTTTTGTACTTGCCGAAGCATTGCAAGCCACTGTTGTTCTTTTGTGCGTCAGCCAAGCAGGGCAATGGCATTCCACAGGTCACGGTGTAGGAATCCTCCGTCCCTGAAAACACACACAAGAGGCCGCGGCACATACAAAACTTAGGGCCACAAAGGCAAGCGAGCAGCATGTAAGAACACGATGCGTCTGTCTGCGGAAGGATGTTGACGACTATTTGCACAACAGATTCCACAGCGGGTTAATGTTTAAATCATGTTTTATAACAACACAGCACCATTGAGGTCGACTTCACATTCTTGACGGCGGGAGCATGTCATTAGAATAAGGTTTAATTACATGTACGGGACTAATGGGGTTTATAATGATTTTCAAACATAAAAGCGTCTGCGTGTACCAACGCCTTGCCACGAGGCATTCATTCAATATCCCCCGTGTGCGTTTCAATAGAAGTATGTATTCGACGTCCTTCTTCGTCACTTTAAGGTCCATGTACTAATACGCTATTTGTCCTCACGAGTAAGACAATTCAGCGCACTAGTAGAACAACTGTGTTTTGCTCGTAACATTTTGTCCACTACCAGTGTCACTTTAGATTAACCAGTATGCAATTCATCCTTACGAGTCAACTATTGCGCTCCACTAGTAATACAACTGGGCCACGCTGTACTATGCTCCTGGACCCTATAAACACAAAAACAGAAAGTCCATGTACTACTATGCTCTTTATCCTCACAAGTAGCACCACAGGACATGTTATAGAAACTCTTTCCAGGTGTGCGGAAGCTGTTGTAGTTGCAGGTGGAGCTTTTCACTTCCTGTCCATGCCAAGTGCCCCGATTCTTTTGTCCACGTAGTGCAGTTGAATGTCTTTGTAGAGTGCATCTTAGCCTCCGAGTTCATTTGAATGACTCGGTCATAAGCAGAGGATGTGGATTTTTTTTTTTTTTTTTTTTGTCTGCCTGAGATCTAACAACTACAGGATTATTAAAGGCCGCGGTTGTGAATGAAGGGATGACAAATCCTTTTGAACGGCGCACAATATGAAGCAGATGCAGGAAGTGTTGCGTGGGCTAGAAACGGAAAGCCATCAAGGGCGGCACTCAAGGCAATTGACTGCTGTTCGAAGCAGGCGTGTTTTTGTTTCCAAGAATTTGGTCAGAGTTTAGTGATCATTCCAGAATTGGAGGACATTTTCATCCTTGCCTCCCATGAAACTTCAAATTAACCATGCATATAACACATAAACATCCACTTTTTGCATTATTACAGTTGCCCTGACACAAAATGTAACTCTAAAGTTAATCCTGAAACTATCACAAAATCTTACACACCGCTTAAAATTCCTTTTTATCTTTCACGTTGACACATTTATTGATCACATGTAACAGATAAAATCAGATAAAACGTGCCGGTTTTAATTTGTAGTAATTAGGATCTAAAGTTGTGTCTCTCAGCATACATGCCACCATGCCACTGACACACCTTCAGCCAACGACAGAAAGATATGGAAAAAAGTGGACAAGCTGACTCAGTGTATTCTAAAAATAAATAAATAAATACATAAATGGCGGTTCTACATCGTACCCAAACGGTACTTTGGCTGGTATGCATAGCAGAACTGCTCCGTGCTATTTATCAGCACCCATAACCACTAAGAATCTGTGCTAAATAGTATCTTATGGTTACTAAATTCTACCCTTATGCTTGCAAGCCAAAGAACCATTTGGGTACAATGTAGAATAAACATTCTACATAGCATTCTAATTGTATTTTTATTTTTTTGTAGAAATGACATCATCAAGCTAACTGCTCTCACCATAGGTACACCGATCATGTTTTCTCGGTTTTATTTTTCATATTTTTTATCAACACTTTCAACTGTAATGGATTGGGCCACACACACCAAGGTAAGCACGTATAGCTATCTCTCTATCTATCTACACACACACACACACACACACACACACACACACACACACACACACACACACACCCAGCAGTGGAAATAAAAGTGCCATTAAAGGGTTTGTCGCATTGAGCGCTGCGCTTGCGCTTGATCCAACTCACCACTGCTGATATGAACTTGAGACTGGCACGTCAGGAAACAGCGGTCGCCTCCCTCCTGCTTGCTACAGTTCAATGTAGGTTTCGAGGTGGCTTTCGCAGGTGGTAAACCCTCTGCCTCTAGATAGAAACCACAATAAAACTCCAAGGTAAAAGAGGAACGCGTTGGAAAGGGGCAAGAGGAAGAGGAACCCAATATTTGGACGGCGAGGACAGCACGGCTCTGATTATTGTACAAGCGCACACGAGAAAGTGAGCGTGTGAGAATATAAGAGAAAAGAAAACAGAATTCAAAGTATCTCCTGTTTTTGTCCCACACTCCCTCCGTCTTCCAAAAATGTCATACATGCTTGAGTTTTGTTCAAAATGGCATCTTTTCATGCAGAGGAGGCTTTGACTTACCAATACAGTCCTTTTTGTTCCAGTGGAGCTTGTAGCCAGGGTTGCAGGAGCATTCAAACCCACCCTGGGTGTTCTCACAACCCTGCTCACAACCGCCATTGTTGACGCTGCATTCATTTATGTCTAAGAAGAGAGAGAGGAAGTCAGCTCAGATTGAGAGTTATTTTTAACGTTTCTGATAACCTTTTTGGGCTACATGAACACAGTGCAGTTATGACACCTCTCCATGTTTATCAAAAGCAAACATTATTTGGAAAGTTTTGGAGAAATCTCATGAGAATTTTTTTTTTTTTTTTAATGTTTGGAACAACAATCGGTGTTACTGGTCTAGTGAGGCTCAACAGTGCCATTGGACATCCCCCCCCCCCCCCCCCCCCAAAAAAAAAGCATATTGCTCAAAACAGTGTGCACCACCGTATAAAACAAATTGATACAGACATGTGCATCCAAAAGTTTAGAGATGGTAAAGTGAAGATCACCCGTCAAGGTGAGTGTGCACTTCAGCCTACAATATCCCCAAAAATTGTGAGCGGATTGTTTCTCTGCGCATTCACGAGCCTGAAGCTCTACCTAGCCTGATCTCACCTCCACAGTGGGCCAGTCCGTACATGGTGTAGCCTTTGTTGCACAGACACTGAAAGCTACCGGGGGAGTTGACGCACGTGTGATCACACGTCCGCTCAAAGAAGCACTCGTCTATATCTGTAATCAAAAAAAAAAAAAAAATCACGTGACATAAAAGCAGAGAACTGTTCATGAGGAGGGATTTCCCATCCACCTAGACAAACAGGTGCATTTGAATGAACGTTCAAACGGCTCTTGCTGTGGCAATAATTACAGGGGAGAAGAAAGTAATCTTTTAGCTATGCAGCTACTATCAGTCTAGCATGTGTTACAAAGCTAATGTTTTTACCAAGGCCCAAGCACTAGCGGTCGCACTGACCTACATGTATAACTTAAATTGCAATAATTCATTCCCAACAGTCAATTATCTTCAGTTCTTTGCGTTGCTGAAATAGATGTTTCTTTTTTTTAACCAATCAGATTTTAGATTCGCCACTTCGTGCCTTCACGCAGGCTCAGAGTGATGTTGGCAATTTTCAGTCCTCTGATTGGTTCAGCTAAATATTCTGCTTTGTTTATACCTCTAATTGGTTACGCCAGGGGTGTCAAACTCATTTTAGTCGCGGGCCAATTTTGAATCACGCCTTCCTCAGAGGGCCGTTATAACAGTAAAACCACAAAATTATTACACAACAAAATAACAGATTACTAGTTTTCAAATCAGTCAAGTAAATTATAATAGTTTGTTGAATTATTGTTCAAGTGGATGTAAACAGGGTAACAAAATTACAGTATTGCAAAATTTTTGCCCAGATTTTAGCAAGTTGACATGATTTGCTTTCGCGGGCCACATAAAATGACCCGGCGGGCCAGATCTGGCAGGTGTCTGAGTTTGACACCTGTGGGTTACGCTAAATATGTACACTTTATTTACGGGGGAGGATGATGTCAGACTTGATTAAAATTTTATTTTCAAGGTGTACTTTTCAAGAAAAAAAAACATTTTGTGATGACAGGTCAATAAATAACGTTGCCGCCTGGCTTGTTTCAACCTGGAAAAGGATTTTTGGGGCACTTTGAGAGAAGCACGTATAACCGCTAGAGCTAGTTTACACAGACAGGAAGTTGCAAAGAAAGGTGGACTGCACCAGAATCTCTGGTGAGTTTGATGTATTTTATTGAAGGTTTTTCTGTTTTTGTCATATTATGTAAATACAGTTTTATTGATTGTGAAGTGGTATATTGTAGTGTAGAGATTTGGACTTGTTTGGAGATGAGGGTAAAAAAAAAAAATTCTTGTTAGAGTAAATTTGAAGGAGATTTAGGTCAGGTGAATTTTGTAGCGCAACAAAAGGCGGAATTATATTGCAGCAAGAGTGATTATGAGCGTCCTTCCTTGTCATCATTCCAAGGGAAATGTGAGAATCAGAAAATCCTGCAAATACAAGGTTTTGGCTATCGAATTATTTCATACTCTATATAACAGCTGTATCTCCATCTATATTTTGCACAAAATGTCCACCGCCTTGTGTGACGTAACACTAAATTCAGAACTCATAGTTTTGTTTTGTGTTTTTTTGTATTATTTGTATTAGACTTCCGCTTATTTTTTTAATTGTCAGACAGTAAAAAAAATGTTTAAATGTTACTTTGTCAAACATTACTCTGCCCCTACAACAGATTATTCCCACTTCCATTATTTCCTATGGGGAAATTTATTTTAACATTCAAACACAACGCTCTCCTGGGATGATTTTTTTTTCTTTGAGGTTCCACTGTACTATTGTTTTCAATGGAAAAGTGATTGCCAACTCTATTGCAGCAAAAGGTTGAAGTGCTCCTTTTTTTTTTCCCCACACAAAACAGCGAAGTGCAGGCCGTACCTTGACATGAACGCTCATCCGTCAGCAACTTGAAGCCTTTTCTGCAGTTGCACTCAAAGCTGCCGATGGTGTTCCTGCAGAAGTGATCGCAGCCGCCGTTTTGAAGCTCGCACTCATCGATGTCTGCCGACAAAAGCGGATGGAAAGCATTTGAACATTCTTCCACAACCTTGGTATCCAGGATATACTTAGATGCTCTTTTTCCTCACTTGTGAGACATCGCAGACTACATACTAATAGAATGAGGATGTCTTTACATTGGTAATGTTTTTGCCACAGCTAAAGCCACTTTTTTTTGACCTACTTGGATGTGATGTAACCTTACTAGTAAACTACTGTGTTGTGCTGTACTACTAACCCGATGAGTAGACGTGTGCCCCACACTAGTAGCCTCCTGAACCGTACTAGTAGACCGAAATGCCAATTACTACTTTTGTCGTACAAGTAATATGTAGTTGTCCTGTTAGTATGTCAAAGGTTTTCTATGGTTGTGATATTGGTGGAGAAAAAAAGCATTACAAGAGGCACAGTTGTTCTACGACTGCCCTGAGCTTTTATTCACTAGCCACGAACTCCATTCTAAGGCGCACTCGTGCATTCTTTGTCCTCACAAGTCCAACAGTTCAGCACAATAGTAGAATGAATAGCTTCATTAGCAGTACTAGTAGGGCACGTATGTCAGTTAGTGCACACTTTAGCCTCATGAGTTTGATAAAGTTGCACTGCTTGTTTGCACAAATGTATAGTTGTGGAAGGCCCTGAATTGTCCTACTTGTAAAGATGATGAGTGTACTAGTACATGACCTATGCTGGATATCAAATAAATGCTCAAACGGTTTGTCATAAGATCACACGTTCTCAACAAGACGACAGAGCGGCATCGGTGTGGCTGCTCCGAGCGGCAAGACGGACCTTTGCACGTTTTGGCATCCGGCTGCAGCGTGAAGCCAACGGGGCAGCTGCAGCGCACGCCCGTTGATGTGTCTTTACAAGTGCAGTCGCACCCGCCATTGTTGACTGCGCAGGTCTCTGCAAGGATGACACACAATATGCAAATGTATGGCAAAGATGAAAATCCACAACAGTCACGGCATGTTCAGTGATGGACAAAATGGGTGTATCCAAGCGACTGGGGAAAGTTTCTCTATTTGTATTTCTCATCGCGCGTGTGTTTTGTTGTACTGCATATGGTACTATTACAGCCAGTATTGGATACTGTGATGTTACGTTACACACAAACATACATACATTCCTACTCCTTCTATAAAATGTAATTTTTGAGATGGGAACTTGTCATTGTAGATGACTTTCTTTCATTTTCAGTTATTTTCTCCATTGCTCTTCTTTTCTAATCAACACAGTGGGGAGGCAGCATTGTATGGGAAGCTTTTTGAACATTTATACCTTTTTCCTTGAGCTCGACTTTAAAGTCGAATTTAAAGTCCATGTAATAGTACACCTTTTGTCATCACTTGTAAGACAATTCAAGTACACGAGTAGAACCACTGTGTCTTACTAGTAAGGGCAAAACTGCGCACAAGTTGCATTCTATGAGTGACATTCTAAAACTTGACTTGTTAACATCTAGTGCTTCACTAGTAGTACTAGTGGCGCACAGATGTCAACTAGTGGCCAGTTTTCCCCCACTAATGGTGACATGTAGATGTCTGACTAGTATGACAATGTTGTCCTACTAATGAGGACAAAGAGCGCATACTCATCCCTGGACTATTATTTGAGCATTTACCCATAGCGCACTAGTAGCTATTCATAATTGAAAGCACGAGTAGAATAACACACGCATGCTCAAACAGCATCATGGCAAGCAAGGGTGCACTAATAGAATGACGTTTTTCCACTTCTGCTTTTCAATACGGTATGACAGTTGTGCGCAATAATTGGCTAACTTTGGCATGGTATGTGCCAAACTACATTTGACCAGTAAGGCAAAACTACTCATGGCAATTTTAGTGCTATGATTGGCATCCAAGAGGCTATTAGTGCTTGCCTTCCAATGGGGTCCAGTAGTGTTATTACACAGTAAAATTGGTTGACGAAGATATACAGATTGACATTTTTTTCCTTTTCATTTACTTTTATTTAGACATTTGGATACAACCTCACGCTCATCAGTGTAAAATGTGCCTGAGTAACATAGATTCTCTTCAAATAAAAGTTGATTTTAATTGTTTGGAGTACAGTACAATTAATCCACTACTCAGAGAAAAATATTTCAAAAGAATATTTTACTCTCTTCCAAGGGTAAATTTTACTTTGTCCAGACTGGGACCCAGTATAGTCTTTTTAAGAGTATAATTTTCCTTGATTAGGATAAAATGTACACTATGAAATTTATTGTGTAGTGTGAACATCTGCACATTACTAATACTACTGGTGAAGCACAATATGTTAACTGGCACAATTGTATAATGTCACTAATATTACTGACAAACCATACAAACCGTCAACTAATCCACAGTTTTGATTCACTTGTAACATGGAGTAACATGGAAATCTGGAACGCACTAGTTGTGAAAAAAACATTACTGGTTCTACTAGCTCACTGAATTTTCATACTGGTGAGGATGAAGCATATACTACAACATGGACCTTAGTTTGGATGTCAAGGATGTGGAATAAATGCTCAAACGGCTTTCCATAGCACTGTGGCTTGAGGTGAACAACACCATGACCAAAAAGGGTTAAACTTGTCCTCGCAAAGAAAACATTGTCCTAGTCAGGATGAGAGTCGGTGGAAATAAAATTAAGCTTACCTGCATAATCAGATAAGAATCAAAGAACTATAGTATGGTAAAAAAAAAAAATCTCCTAAAAGTTAAGTTAAATGCGACTGAGCAGCACTTAACAAATGCAATGTACTCCCCCCACCACTCCCCCACCCCCCACACACACACACACACACACACACACACCACTCGAGGGAGTCGCGTTACCACTACTGCATTTGGAAATTATGGGTCAGCCGTGTTAATATTTCAAGTGTTATGCAGAAGAATCAAGGATGCATTTTAATAAACAGTGGAACCTCAGTTTTCATCTGCCCTAGTTTTCGAACCATTCAGTTTTTCCTCAGCCACTCATTTCCACGAATTGATGCGCATTCACCTGAAGTGTTTTGTGAATTGCATACTTTTATGCAATTCAACACATGGCAAGACATGTCGCCCAAAAATGCAACATGATTGGCAAGTCGAAGCAATAAATCTCAGGTGAAATTATATTTTCTAAATAAAAGCACAGCGTGCAATAAAAAGGTTTCACTACACCTTCTTGGGCCACATGATGGCTTATTTCACAGTTACACGTGAACAACCTCAAAATAGTTTGAGTGTGACTGCTAAATAAGCCACAATCGGGCTCAATTAGTAGTGAGAATATGATGTGCTATTTCGTTGAAGGCCTGATATTTGGCAGGCCGTCACGCCACTGTTGCCCCAAGTTGTCTGAGTGTTGCCGAGCAAACCGGTATTTCCGCGAATTGTTAAATAAAAAAATAAATAAATAAAAAAAACCTATTCAATCATTTTTGTTTATATTTTTGGGTGTCTGGAACTAATGAATTGGTTTCCACATTCTTTCCTATTGAAAATATTGCTTTGGATTTTGTACCATTCACTTTTACTCAGACTTTCTGGGATGGATTGATCAGGAAAATGGAGGTTCTACTGAACAATATAACAGATCCCACTTATTCCAAATATACAAGCACAGGTCTCACACTTGATGCCCAGAACCGGTCAGCCACATCATTTCCTGTGGCCCACTAAAGCAAATCATGCATGTCAACTGCATGATTTGAGCTGAACCAAAATTGAAAAGTGTCTCCACTTTTGGTAAATTTTCTTTGACTTATGTATACATTCATTGTGTATACTGTATGTAATAATTCAAGCATTAATTTATATGGTTTCAGTCAAGAGAGAAACCATAACTACAACGTGGCCTGCAAAGCCACCGACTACTAATTAAATGATTATTGGACAACAACCTCCCAATAGGAGCGGATCTAATTAGGTGTTGCCATTGTTTGATTTATGGTTGCCTATGAATTTGAAAGACCTTTTAAGGCATCCACACATTTAGCAACGTTTTATGACTAACATGTAAGGAGTGACCTGAAAATCTGTCAAATCCAAAGTGTCGAGACAAGGCTTTCACACTCGAACCTTCCCAAATGGAAGGAAAATGTGAAATGTACCACACTGTCACAAGTGCATATTTTTCAGGGGAGAAGTAGTGGGCGAGACGGTGAGTGCGCAGTCATTTCACAGTTTGCTCAAAAGGCTGAGGAATGCTCCGGTTTACTAGACATTTCGCCTCTTCAACGCCCAGCGCTTCCTGGCAGCTCCGCATGCCATCACACAAGCCAAGGGACTGACTGCTATATTACCCATCAGAAGCCTCCGCTTGACCCGTTTGTCCACCTCGGCGAAGGACGTGGCGTTGTGGTCCGACGACTCGGTGGTGGCCTCGTCTCGCTCTGCGACACAAAGCTTAGAGCTTAGGGCACACACTCACTATTCACATAGAACTGCTTGGGCAGAACAAAGCAACTAGTAGCCATTCCACTCACACCGCAAACATGGACTGAGGATAGAAAAAGCCTACACACCCTTGTTCAAATGCCAGGTTTGTGTGATGCCCAAAAAATTGCGACTGAGATAAGCCATTTTAAAACTTTTTTTCCAATATTCATGTGACCAGCAACCTTTAAGAACCAATTGAGAAGGTTGTTTTCATTTTTTTGAGAGGGGAAGTACAAATAAACAACTGAAATGATGTGGTTGGAATAGCGTGTACCGGTAATTCAAATGCAAGCATTTAAACTCATCCTTGATGGGAATTAGTACCCACCTGCAACCATATAAGGCGCCACTGATTAACCACAAATCAATTTCAGACATTCCAGTGAGCTTTTCCTGACATGTCAAGCTGAAAGTGTGACTGACTGCTATTTCAACATAAAATATCTTGCATTGTCTGATGAAACTTGAAAAAACCTAAAAGTTTTGGACAATTCCAAGAGGTGTTTTTTTTTTTTTTTTTTTTTTTGCAAAACAAAAACAAGACTGTTCGATCGCCTGAAAAACACCATACTTACGAGAGAAGCATGGTGTTGGCAGCATCCTGCTTTGGAGGAAGTGGGTATTATGAACAGTTCGAAATAGCAGTCAGTGTTAGGACTAAACCCTCCTGCTTCTGCTAGAATGCAAAATGTCAAGAAAAACCAAGTAGAATATCTGATTTTGATTTTGGGGTTCATCAGAGGCACTTTAAATGGCGGCAGGTGACTGTGGACTCCCATTTAAATTGAGTTTGCATGTGATTCATTAATTCTGAACACAGCCATGTCCCAATTATAAAAGCATGTGCAGACTTTGAGTCATTTAGTTCGCCTGTTCTTTTCAATTGAAAATGTATCTTGGTCTCATTTTAAAAATAACAACAATCTGGTGTTAGAACAGGAGTGTGTAGACTTTTTCTATCTGCTGTATATTGGGAAGTCTAAGCGTCAAAGAGTAAAAATATCTTTCTCTTTTTCTGTCTGCTCACAAAGAAGGTAATCATGACGAACAACTGGATTGCTGTAAAGACACCAACCCAAAAAGAATGGTTGCCTTTAGATTGATCATTAATGTAACTATTATACAGATTTGTTTTGGTGTTGACTTATGGAAGTTATTTTTGTCTTTGTTCCATGACAGTGTTTTTTTTTCTTTTTGATATATATTTTTTCAATGATTGAATTTTTATTTTTCCTGTTGAAAGAATGTTACTTGCCTGCAGCTATAGGATGAATGTAAGGTACATCGAGAAAATAGTGAAATCGAGAAGGCTATTTTGAGGGGTGCATTGGGTCGGGATTTTGTTTCAAGTTGGAGCCACTCAAGGCAAAAGTGGGCTTACTCCATCTTATCCTGACTTCAGCCACGTGTGAGCTGGAACCTATCCCAGCTGACTTCAGACGAAAGTCGGGGTACACCATGGACTGGTTGCCCGCCAATTAGAGTGGGCTAACTCCATTTTGTCATTTCGCAGGAGAGAAACTCAAAGCTTGAATGTTACAAAAGCAAAATAATCTTCCAATTCACTTCATAAAAGGACAAACATGGAGTTAGCCCACTGTAGTTTTCTGTGGCTCACTGGTGGTATGCTTTATGGAAGTAGTAATGTGTTGTGTATGTTACGTTCTTCTGTCTGTATGTTGTGAGTCAACAGCTGAAAAAAAAAAATCATGAATCCAAAATAACACTGATGTCAGTGGTCGTCTCGCAGCATGTTTACACTTGCGATTTTTGGCTGTGTGTGTGTGTGTGTGTGTGTGTGTGTGTGTGTGTGTGTGTGTGTGTGTGTGTGTGTATGTGCAGCTATCTCGGCACAACAGGAGACCCAATTTGGAAAGAAGGCTGCACAGATATACGCTTGGACCTCACACACACACACACACACACACACACACACACACACACACACACACACACACACACACACACACACACACACACACACACACACGCGCACACACACACACACACACACACACACACACACACACACACACACACACACACACAAACATAACAGCCGCCACGGTGGAGCAAAGATATCACCTGATATCTGCAGCCTGATCCCTATCCTTCATGGTCCACTCAGAGAGCTTTCCCCCGCTACCGTGTTTTCATTCATTCATCAAAATAATCTCTGCTTGACTAAAGAAACAAAGTTTGCAACTAAGCTGGCCCCCGGCCTGTGCTCTCATCGACTTGCGGTGGACTTTTCGTTCTATTTTGACAGGAAATATGACAAAACACACTGAAAAACTATTTTAACAAGCAGTTTTGCCCTGTTCCTTCTCCCCTGTGTAGGTCTGAGGTTGGAAAAGATCCTTAGCCCCACTCACAATATCTGTTTTTATAGCTGCACCATTCCACCAAATGGAAATATTCTGGGTGCCTTTTGGACAGCTTCATACACATTCACCCAAAATGAATCTTGACATATTTGGTATCTTTGGAAAGTACTGGATGTGATCTCCAATGAAACTCTGCACATTTGCGTCTGCATAGTCTGCACAGCATGAATTCACACTTGAGTGACCTCCGGGGAGGTCTGCATGCTTTTTACAGCTTGAACCCCGACTTTAATGGAATATTAATCTTGGGGGAGTTGTGAGGCAATTAAAGCTTTGATGGTTTGCCAGCTCTTTATCAGGTTTAAACAAGGGTCGCGGACATGCCGGAGTCTATCTTAGCGATCTTCGGGCAGTAGGCGGGGTGCACCCTGAACCAGTTGCCAACCAATTACAGGGCACACAGAGACGAACAAGCATCTGTGCTCACAATCACACCTAGAGACAATTTAGAGTGTTCCATTGACCTGCCAGGCATGTTTTTGGAATGCGGGAGGAAACCTGGAGAAAACAAAAGCAGGCACGGGGAGAACATACAATCTCCAAACAGGAAGGCCGGAGCCGGAATCGAACCCTGTACCTCTACACTGTGAGGCTGACGTGTTAACCAGGTATTCACCATGCCGCCCTTGTCAGGTTTAATTCATTGAAATACTTGGAAATTAGAAGCTTTAACCACAAAATTATGACTTTTTAAAATAAGCTAATTTTGAATTTAAAACAACTGGCCAGCCTTTTTACCTTTGTCAAAGCAGAGTTTTTAAGCAGGTCTTGAATTGGATTGCGATACTGTATAATGGGCAAGCTGTCATATTGTTGGAGCTGGCATACAATATCCTTGGGAACATAATTCTAACTCCATATACTAGGTTGTGAGGAGAATAGTAAACATTGGAACCACTAAAGACTAAACTGTGGAAAGCCATTTGAGCATTTATTTGCTATTCTTGATATCCCACTTGCGGTCCGTGTCAACGTAGACTCTTTGTCCTCACATGTAATGAAATTCAGCACACGTATCGAACGAATAGTGCTCAGTTTAAGCGATTGTGTCTTACTAATCAAACTTTTTTCCCTCTTCTAGTGCCACTTTTGGCCTACTAACACAACCTTAAGTTTGAACATTGATTCAACATGCTCAAGCAGCTTTGATATTCTTATGCAATATTTTCATTTCTCTTTTGTTGTGCGCCAGCTTTACAGTAAACTTCAACCTAGGACTGACAAACAGCTTAAAGCAAGCATGCATTGCCTCTTATTTGGAGAACTGTGCGAGAGCGAGTCTTCTTTGTGGGTCTTCAGTGATTTCATGCAATCGTCTCCTAGAACTTGACAGCGAGAGAGCGAGAACAGGTGCAAAGAAAATCTGAAAGTGTGTTTTGATAAGCTTACGTGAGTTTTAATGAGCGTTGAAATGTGTGTGTGAGGGATAAAACTGTCGGATCGTTCTATATTGGAGATTTTCAGTCTACTAGAGATGTGTCATGAAGTGTACGGGGAATGCTATAAAAGTTACTTAGTCATGAAGTGTACGGGGAATGCTATAAAAGTTACTCTGTTCAGTTATTAAAGGTAAAGTAGTATAATTTCAAGTTTGACACAAATTATTTAAACACGTGATTATAATTTGATTGAGGCACAGGCGGACAGATTCTGAGCTCCGTTGACATGTTTGGTGGATCGCACCCAACAACAAACCCAGTGAATCACTGGATTATGCATATTTTGTAAATCATTCCACCGGGCGGCACAGCTATGGGGAAAGCACATCAGTGATAGGGGAGGTCTCCAAGTGCTCCCTCCACGGCACGAATGTGCTTCCATCATGGCCCGACTTTCATGAGACTAATAACATTTACGAGAATGAAAGGCGCTGCTTTGATTGTTTTGATTGGTCATGACTGGTCCCACAGTAGCGCAGCACCCCCTATGTGCTCGTCTGCGAAATTACTAGCGGGTCTAACCCGTCTTCGTACAGAGATATGTCATGTGCTACACCGAATTTACATCGGTCGCGAAAGTAGAGCCTATGGTGTTCAAAACAAAGGTTCCACTGTTTGTTTTTACATGTCATGATGCATTTTTTATGAGTATTATATAGATAGACAGATAAATACACAGATAGTTTAACATGGGACTGTACTGCCATTTGTGTGTGTGTGTGTGTGTGTGTGTGTGTGTGTGTGTGTGTGTGTGTGTGTGTGTGTGTGTGTGTGTGTGTCCCTTACAATCTACACAAAC